TACCAATAATGAAGGCGAAATTGGCGTCCTCACCTCGTATATAACAGCGCACAAATAAAGGCACAAAATAAATACCTTCAAACAAGAAGTATGTTCAGAGATAAGTTAGTATGCACATTTTTTCTGAAAATATATTTTTCCTAATAATCCGAAATAAGAATAACGGTATTTCTATCCTCCAACGTTCTCTTAATTGACTCTCAGAGTCGGAAATCACTTATATCAATACACCATATTTTCATATTCGTATTTCTTCTTTGCTGCATGTTCAACCAAGGCGTGGCAGCAGATGATAAACAGATTCATACCATTCTTGGCATTTATGTAAGATTCTCCGCTATCTCGTCAGTCGCAACCAACCAGAGATGACTTATCTTGTCACTCCTTAGATACCTGTGCCTTTGTGTCCAAAAGGTGATCTTTTGACTCTGTGGAGAAAGTAAAGTAATGGATGGTTGGCTATGCTCGCAGACGTGGTGGCGAAACAATGCTCACTTGTACCGCGTGCCTCGAGCTTCCTAAATTAATGTAGTAGTTGATGCCATTATTCTTTGACTCCAGACAGGCAGCAAGGAAGGAAACCCTTGTATTTCCTCTCCGCAGACAATGCACACCTCGTAGGCCGGGTAATGGAGAGAGAGATAAAAACGAGAAAAGTTTACAAGGCAGAGAATGGGTTTGATCGAGTAATATTTTTCACACGGTTTCATTCAACAGTCAAGTTCCCGAGATTTCGATCTACTACAATTCCCACTTGGTGTGGAGTGGAGCTATGGCTTGTCATGTTTCCAATATCTGATATCTTGCTCATCGATCAAACGAATGAAAGGGCTCTGGTGATGGAAATGAGAAATTTCTTTACTCCTGATTTCTCGATACCCCAACATTATAACTCAAGTATAAAACCACATTCAATATTTATGTAATTGGCACATCACACAGATTTTTGGCAATTCATCCGCCACCCACACGGCAAATACTTGCAATAAGAGCTTAAAGCATCAAAATGGTAAAATATGCAAACTATCCGATCCACCGATTGTCCCTAACTCAGCCCCAGAGACTGGGCAGCCGTGGTGAAACATTATCGCAAACCCAAACTTGACGACCTTGCCCAAAGAATGTAAACGTCCAAATGATGAATGAGTGCTTTTAAGCCTTCTCCAAGAGCTTTGTTTTAGCTACTGCTCCACATCCATGTGTGCATACATACATATTCGCTGCATGTTTGGCTATAGTGCAGATAGTGTTTTTGGATAGCGGAGAAAGGAAATATAGCTCTAAACGACTCGACTTAAATGGCTCAGTTGAAAACAATCCCAACGATCGTTCCTCCTCCACAAACTAAATTCCAGCCACCAGACACACAGAGACAGTCTCCTCTTTCGGGTGATAGCGACAGGATTGATGCACCATCAGACGGAGGGAGAACGGAAGGAGAGAAAGGAACCTGGCTGGGATTTGGCTTGATTGTGCACATTAGTTGGATTGGAAGGATGGGACTTTTGTCTCGCATCAATCAGTAAATTACAATCAAATGCACTGTCATTTTAAAATGAATCGCTTCATTATTTCGAATTCTGCCTTTGTCTGAGCAATTCTCACTGGAAATACGTGTCTCTCGTCCCCTGGAGAGTGTACACGAAGGAGTGTGTGGATGTCAAATGAAGCAGGAGCGGAGCGAGCAGCCGCAGCCAGGACAAAGTGAAAGTTGGATTAATGAGAGAGAATCCTCCTCGCAGGCTGACGGCATGGGCGAGAGTGGCGCACACTTGAGTGAGCAGTCGAGAAAAAGGAGGACATAAAATAATACATTCTTCGCCTTTCTCCACATTCTCACGCAGTAATGAGCTGGCCTCAGCAAATTTCTGCTCTTTGAATCCAACTCAATGCCATTCGACACTTACCTCTCCAAACCTGGAGAAGAATCGCAGGGGCTCAATAAATATTTTTCTTATTCATTCTCAACACAGGCGTTTGCATATTTTTTGGAATCCGTTTCGTAATATTTATTCTGTACAATGTTTATGAAAATGATTCAAATAAGAAATATTTAACATGTTGTTTAATAACCAATTCCAGATACAAATAGAATCTCGGATGAAATTATGAATAATCTCACATGCATTTTTTCGACCCCCACAGTTGATTTTCTTTTGAATGCTCTGAAAAGTTTGACCTTTTTATCGCCCACAGCTAGTGATCCTTGTTCCACAAGACTGCATACATTTCTTTCAGTATCTGCACAACCTGAATTGTGGAACATTTCGCGATGCAAACTCCAGTTTGAAGGTCACAAGTACGCCCCGCATCACACTTCAGATATGTAATTTGAGCCAACACATTCTTTTCAAACTACAAAATTCGGTCGCGAAGCAATCTTCATTGGAGTGAAATCTCCTCTTGCATTCTATTGAGGACATTACTGAACCATTAGTTTCCGGGAAGTCAGACTGGCGAATGGCGAATTTCATGAAATTCATTGCAAACATACCGAGCATCACCCGGAGAAGGATCAACAACTTGACAAATTGAATTTAGGTCAGGACAATTCTGGTCCGATTTGCATTCGCTTGAGCCACCAATATTCACAGCTATGTGGAAATAAATGCGAATCTTTGCGCTTGTCATTCCTTTTTTGAGCTGAAAGAATGAAGAAAGGAAAACCAACCAACACTACAAACCCTTGAAATCTGAACCAAATTGGGTGTTATGCAAAATTTTAATACACATCGACACCTACAGAACAGGGCAGTTAAGTTGTTGAAATATCCAAACTCTGTACAAGTTTGTCCTTCAGGCATAAATGCGGTGAAATTAATCTATCTCGAATGACCTTTAATTCTCTAGCTTTACAATTTTGTCCACGTTTGTCCAATTTTGCATGGTACTTCAGCTCAACGTAGTATTGCGACGGCGTACACTTTTGCAGTTGTGTAACAGACATATACATATATAACTAATGGGTATTTTTGTTGACTTAGTCGTGATTACGGATTATGTGCCTTATCTCGTCATTCTTGTTTGTCCAAACTAATGTACTCGAGAAATTGTTAATATCTCTTCTTGTGTGAGTCATGCACATTAACGGGTTTGTAGGCTCCTTCAAATTACATTACGGGTTCAGTCCACTCCTGAAGGTGATAAAATTAAACGACCGTCTTGCTTGAGTTTTAGTGGACAATTTATAGGCTATTTTAATACCTGCTCGAATATCGTCGTCATCAGAAAGTGGGCCCATCTATAGAAATGTCAAAATGCTTGGGAACATCTCGCAAAAACAAATCCCGCAGGATTAGAATCATAAAATATTAGATCCCTCGATCCATGAGATTTCCTTATAAATTGCCTCATTAACCCAGTACCAAGTCAACTTGCCCATTACTCCCTTATTTATTACTCATTTTCCTTTCAAATTCTCTCCCGCATCTAAAACCAGGTTTCAACATGTATGTGTAATATATAGCTCAGTGAAATAGTATCCAAGTGGAAATAAGGGCTCCCAACAAATCAAACTTGTGTATGTAGATGTACGAGGGAGCATTTCTAAATATTGTGAACCCAATTCTTTCTCGGCGATGTATTTACTTCATTTTATGTTAACCAACGAGTTAAATAAATTTGGTATTGAACTTGTGTATCTGATTCCTTCGTAAGATAATTTGTCAACAATCCTATTAGAAACTTTGAATCATTCTGCATATGCCCAAAATCTTTCTGCATAATATACAAAAGAATAATTTGTATTTTTTTTCAAAATTTGAGACAATTACACGTGATTTGGTGTGAAAATAATGTACGCTTTGTAAAAGGTTATAATGAATTATTGTCCATTCTTACCTAATATAGACCATATTTAGGATGCACGTAGAACACTACTAAAAATGTGCCCCTGTACTTGTGCAAGGTTTATGGTCGACGAATAATGCTAAGCGAGTGAAAGCAAAGTTAGGATGAATTATGTTTACCATGTGTATGCACAAACAGTGGATTTGGTTAAAATCTCAGAGAAACTTGTTCACACTATTTGTATTTGAAAGCATAAAGTTGTTTCAATTGAACTAATCATTGGCATTGTTACAGAAAGTTTCAACTAATTTTATAGTAACGGCAAACATCATCTATTTTGTGACTCTCATACTTGCGTTCTATTCTTATTTATGTATTCTATTTCAAAGAAATAAAATGGGCCATATTTCCCTTACAAAGGGTTATTAGATCGTGAACCATGTTTAATACTATTTGGTGCAGGATTCAAAACGAGGCAACTAGCTTTTAATCATGCAAAAGTTATGACCAACTTTCGAGTGCTGCTGTTCAGAGAAAGTTTTTGCGAATTCGTTTAGCATTTGAACTCAAAGAGAAATTGACAAAGTTTAATTTAAGAACGACGCAAGGTTCTGGTTGACACCAATGAAAACTTGAAACCAAATTATATTCTGCAAATCGGAAGCACAATCTGCAGCGGCACAGAGACCCGTGGCACACCTTCATATACAAATTCTAATAAGTGACTGTAAAGTTTGAGGATGAGGTGAAAGGAATTACACGTAGCTCGGAAATAGTCCCACCACCAAGAAATGAGGTCTTTCGATTTCTCACCGCGAGGAAAGAGGTCGGAAGGCTTATTTTTTTATTTCGCCTCTGTTGAAACTTGTAATTAGTTTGATCCTCCGAACTTTCAAGTTGTTACATTATCAAGTCAGCTTTGAGTAGAAAAAACGACTCTGCATTCTCTACTTCAACCGAGGAAATTCAACAAGAAATTTCAAGATAAGTATGGGATATGACTTCCTTATGTTTGCCCAATAACATTATAACATTAATGTAATAAAAATTCAGATAAAAGTGCATGTATGTAGTAGCTACAATAATGCATACGTAGCTGAGCCATTCTGAATGGGGTTTTAAGGATGAGAAAGCAGAAAATTCCAAAGCAAACAACGGCAAGTGCCATACCGACGCGAGTATATGTGAAATTTGATGAAAAGTTTCCTTACATCATCCTCGTAGAAATTGTCGTCCATGTTCTACACTGCCCAAGAATCAAAAGCCCACAATCCGACACCGACGCGTAATCCTGTAATCTCTTCCTTTTGCTTGACTGGTTCCAGATTACTGAGTCAAATCAATTCCCTAGCACCTTGCTTCCCCATCCGACACTCAAAATTCAACATCGTCACAATTTCCTTTTTTGGGCTGAAATAACGCCTTCACATTTTATAACGTTTGTTCATTCATCGTCCATTGAGCTGATGCATGTTCACTCAGCGCCAGTCTGCTCAACGTGATTCAAACACCAAAAATGTACTCGGGGGGAAGAAGGATTGGTTACAGGCAGAAGAAGGTGCTTAGTATCAAGCGTCCGTGTACATATATCGACCGGTAGCACAAACAAATTGAGGATAATGTCTTAAAAACAGAGACCTCTGTAGAAAAAGGACGACCAGAAAGAAAGTCGTGACAGACCTGCTTTGAAGGTTAGATGTGGATCTACGGATGTTGGTGAAGCGGTCAAATCTCAAATTAAGTTGACTCGACTGAAGAGTAAACTAGAGCGAAAAGTAGATCTAATGGCTTGTCGAGTATCGAGCAGAAGATCATGAATTTATGGATGTGTCGGCATGAGAAAAGCCAAACAAAATATAAATTGATATAGTTGGCTCTGGTTCTGGTGAAGTGAAAGTTCTGGTTAGTCGGAGCTTGAGGCAGGAGCAGCAGCAGCAGTAGTAGATTTAGACGGGAGAAGTCTCATTGTTTAATATTTTATTCTAATCCCAGATGACTTCTATCCCAGTGTTTTTGCTCCATTGAATATTCATGACCTCGTTCTCGGTCACAGTTTCTTCTCCTCTGCCCAACATCAACACGGCTGCTACAAGTTTATAAATGCAGTAACAATACGACGACTGCGACTGTACTGATTTTCCCTCCACTCTTCCAACCAGTCCACTACTCGTCACTAAAACTGCCACCAATCGCCATGAAATTGGAGTCCCCAACCAGCAGCACGCGATCCTGGTTATAGTCACTGATCACCACTGACCCTTTTGCTCTTGTATGTATTTAGCAAATGTGTACGTAGCAGGATCAGCCGTCGACTTGGCGTAGCGTTTCGTGGTAGTGGTGGAAGCCAGGGGAAATCCAGAGCTCCGACTCCTTTCCTCGTAACGTGCTCTCCTGGTGAGGAGGGAGTGATCGACTGCAGCAAAAGCGTTGGTGCGAGCTGCATATGTAGAAAGAGAAAGTTCTCACAGGCGAAATTCGGTGTCCCGTTTGCTTCCCTGTCACGCTATCCTTTCCCACACACGCTCCCAGCCAGAAAGCGTTGATGCTCACAGCAACAGTCTCACTCGGCTTTCACCAGCCTCCTCCATCGTGGACTCTGTACTGCGTATAAGTCAGATAAAAGAAGGGCTAGTAGCAGCCTTCCACCATCCGCTCGGTCCTTCGACGACGTGCTCACTTTGAAAGGAACAACTGACTCAAATGCTGCTAGCTGGAAGCCTTGGTTGGCGTAGTTGGGGCAAACGGTAAAGTGCGGCGGTGGCGACGGAGGCTGTGGAACAGTCGGAGCGGTCTCTTGGTCTCTGGCCAAATTTCACAAGTCCACGACCACACAAATCTCTAAAACTTTCACCAATTCTAGAAAGAAAGAAAGAAATCCTCGCTGGTTAAGCTTTACAGGGACGGACGCTAAGTCTAACTGGAGCACACAATCAAGGGAAATACACATGACGTCTGATTCCTTGATACTTTTTGCTCTGTTTGGTGGTCTTAATCGGCTGGAGTTGAACCAAAGAGAGTGAAAAGGAAAAAAAGCTGGCAACTCATCGTCCAACAAACCAACAAAATATAGGAAACAGTAAAAGAGGAGATAATGTCTGCTCTTTCCATTTAAGAATTGAATACTAAATTCATGTGCTGATTTTGCATGCCAGCCAAACTACTCCACTGCTTGTACACACATGCACATCCATGCAAACACATGCGGTGCGGTGTGTCTGAGTCATAATAAACAAACGGACGATGGGGTCTTGACTGTTTTCAATAGAAATCCAGTGTTTTTTTTTACTGCTAGAACTTGTGTTCATACACGCGTTGAGCTGTTCAGGGAATAAGCAATCTGAAATATTTTTTGGAACAAGCATTCTTCTGGTGATTCGACTCAGCAGATGATGACTTTTTACGGTTATGCTTACACAATCGCTATTACACTTATGGGTAAACTAAATGGTAGGCTTTTATTATGTCGGACCATGCTTGTTCAAGGATTGAGGGACAGTAACCAGATAATAGGTACACTGCAATAAAGGCCATTTCAGCATGTACCAATTTTCTAGAATCTGTGAGAAAAATTATCTCTGGCCCACAGACTTGTCCCGAAAGAATCAACAACATATACTGTCCGTATATCAATGTATCATACATGCAACATGAAGGTCTAACATAAAATGCAGTCAACAATGCTAAAGTTTTAGATTAATTCTCCTACTTTAGTTACTTTTATATGAGTTATATTCTGCATTCCTCTCGTTAAAACTGGAAGGAAGGTCACGTAAAAACGTGTGATATAATACTTTGATTGCTGCTAATTTAGAAATTACTTGGTCACATGCAACCTAGCGTGGCGTTGGCTTAATAGCAGGATGAAGTTTCTATTGATACGCTTGTACCTTGCACTCCATTAAACGGGAATATAAATATAGCACGGAAACCGTTTTATACGGATCGACATTCTTACCTCTTGAGAAAATAAATGACTGGTGAAATTGACGAATGACGAACAAAACAAAGTGCTCTTTGGTGGGGTTGGGTTTGAGTAAAACTTTTCAACGGCAATGAAATATGTCTGAGAAATTGAATTCTGCAGGCGAAGAAAGTACAGCAGCCAGACCCACCGCGACCCGTATTCGCAACTCTCTCCCTCAGCAAACTCTGACTGAAGATGGGTAGGAAACCTTCCACTTTCTCTACTCAGCCTGTACGTATGTACGTAACCAGCAGTTTGCATCAACGGCTGGGCTGCTGGATTGCATGAGACTTGAGTTTCTAAGACAAAGGAGAAGGTAAATGTACTTCTACGGGCCTTGCCTACTTTCTTAAGAAGTAAGTTGGACGGTTTATTTTCCGCCTTTAATGCAAGTAAGGTAATAAGACTATGATTAGTTTCGTAAGGAAACAGATATGTAAACTAATCTTCTACTTACCTAAGATTTTTGTCGCTTTTCTCATTGTAAAGCTTTTCGCACAAAGTAGTTGGAGTAGTAAACCCACACAAGAAATTCCCAAAACTTCTGACCTAACTTGAACCCCCATCTTATGTAACTTTAAGAAAGGAGGTTGCAGTTTGGGAATTGTGGAATTAAAGCTTCCCCTCTAATGATTATTATGTAAGAACCCCCAGAATACACCCGAAGGTGAATACACCATAAATATATCACGTATTGTAATGCTTCAGAGAGTAATCAGATCCTGTTTGTGTATTTATAGTGGTTGCGTAAAGGAGAAAAGTGAAAGTCTGAAACATAAATGCTCTTTAAAGGTTGTTCATATTAATAGATATTTCGTACGTATTTGAAAATGCTACTGGCTAAGACGGTTGTCAGTCGCATGAAATGGAAGGTGAGACAAGCAAAGACAGTTACCAAATGAGACTTGGTACTTAAAGCTTTACGTAAGTTCTCAACAAACAACAAAATTGAGTGGCCTTTAAATAGTTTTATGGCAAATTTTATCCCAAACGAAGTACGAATCGTGATTTTCATCTTATGCCAAATGCAATTCCACTCACAAATACGTAAGCTTGTCATCGCCCCTTGTTCAATGAAAGTCAAACTGTACTGAGAAAATATTTTTTGAGTGTTGAAATATTCACACTCGATGAATTTCAAATCAAATTTCTCGCTTTTGGTGGAAGACAGGAAGCGAGGATGATGGAAACTGTCAATGAATTTTAGCTTTCCCCACTTTCCTCATTCGCTGCCTACAAACGAAATGGTTTGGATCGTTGCGGCTGCCGTCTGTCATCTTGCCAGTACATTATGCACGCTTGAGGCCGTCCCAGTAATGTCATTCTGACATTAATGTGCCCAATCTTTTGAAAAGAATTCCATGTCCAACAAAAATTTCGCTTGGTGAAAGCACGTCAAACCATATCATTGAAACTCGGCTTGCCACTTACCCGTTGATGCATTCAATTCCCATCTTTGGGATGCATGCCTTTTCAAACTCTAAATCTGAATCAATTGCCAAGCCAGAAGAAACCACGAAAGCCTGGGACGACTGCATTCCAGCAACTTTTTCTTGGAGACTGACAGGTGAATGTGTATTATTAAAATGATTCCATATGCATGAGAAACGACCAAATGAAATTTCCCGTGAAAACGTAGACTGGGTAATAAATGATGCGACTGATAGTGCCAAACCAAACCCCACCTTTCCCGTGATATCGGATGTCTACAAATGGAATGACAATGAGCATGAAAAATGCAGGTACTTTCATTTATAGTGCTCGATCTGTCGGTAAAAGTAATATTTTTAATTTTCCACTTGACAGCTCAAGAGACTTTCCGCTGTTCTTAAGTGCTCATCGAATCATTTCTTTCTCACACTGGAAGCTTTGGACATCCAATTTCCAAGAATATATAATGTTTGTATGTCACAATAAGTGTAGCAATTTTACATATCGTATGCATTTTGTCTAGCGTATGGCGCTAGAGAAGATGATTTAGAGCTTGAAGCATAAGCATGAAAGCAGCAAAATATGCGAAAAACGACGCATATTTATTTATTTTCGAACCTACTTTAGTAATTTTTCTATACACGTCGCAATATTTTTTAAATAAAACATGTGAATGGGATACTTGCAACTATTTATTTACAATACTTATGGTCGAATAGGATCCAATATGGAGTCTAGTTTGTTCATATCATACCGATGCTTGAGGAATCGTGTCATGAGCACATTTGAAATTATGGCCAGAAGTAAATTCTTGTTTAATTCAATGACATTTCTTTCCGGTCCTGATTTGAATTTTCCCGTCTGAACGGCATGCCAATAGTTTAGAATGTCCACTTCGGGAATGGATGTTGAGGTCGGGATCGCAAGTGACTCAATGGTGACGGAGGTTATCAGTGACAACAAGGAGTAGAGTAGAGCCCCGACCAAAAGTTGACTCTGGGTGGAATTTGGTCAGTTAATTTTACATATGTAAATATGGACCAATACGTGTTATGTCATCTCTCATACCATGATGATCGTCATAACCCTCAACAATCCAGAAAAGTCGTTTCTCCTGGGAATGCCGAGCTCTTTTTTGTAAAAGGTAGACCTAAGATGGCAAAGAACGACCCAGACGATTAAAGTGAGTAGCAAAGCCGTTGCCACGATTGGATATTTTCCCATGGTTTTCTTGGCAGCATTGTTGAATGCAACTACACCAATCAGAATTGAAATAGTTGAAGTCGCCACTGCCTCGACTTCGTATCTCTGCAGAAATATGAAGAGTTAGGCACTAAATAGCAGACGAAGCAATGGACGAATACACAAATTCAGAACTATTCGTACCAGCAGTGACCTGAATGAAGGTGTTCGACTCATCAGAAATAAGTTTGACACTATTCTCGCTGCAACCATCCATGTGAAGCTTAGCCAAAATATTTGATTTGAAATCCTAATGTACGCTGTCCAATGAATGTTGGCATGAGGTTCAGTTACAGAGAAAAATTGAACGATCTCCTCCCCGAGTTTTCCAACATTTTGGAAATAGATGAAAGGCAAGGTTAACCAACTAAGCAGGTGAATGCACAGTAGTTGGCAGTACATAACGAAGAGCTGAATCTATTTTGTGGAAGCAAATGTTACATGATCAAAGCATTGGAATGCATTATGCAATGACCAATAATTCAAGCTCCATGAATGCAAATATATTATTGTGTCCATGTGCATACCAGTCGCATCTCCAGAAGTTGTAAATCAGACCGTCGTACCGATGGGGGCAATGGCCCTGCAATGTCCTTTGCACACGTTATGGATGCGATGAATATGAATACGGCTCCCACTGGAAACACGTACGGACTGCCGTGCAGCAGCATCGACCAAAACACAGCCATGATGAGAAGTGAGAGACGCAATGGGACGATCAATTCGTTCCTCTGAAAATGCAAATTTAATTTGACGAATTCGAGAGCTCAACAAATGTGATTCCGAAAATAAATAATAAATGCAAATGTACTATAAAATTGGCAATTGCTTTTGCATCCATGTCCGACATTTCCGCAATCGGGTCGTTTGCTAATACTCCTAACGGTGGTTGAGGTTCAATGTTTGCATGTAACTGAACTTCTGGAACAACATTATTCACAGCATCTTGACCATCATTAAGGTTCGTATCTATAATTTCTCCCAACTCGGCCATTTTGTGATCATTTGCATGTGTTGTCCGTGGTCATGTAAAGTTGGAAATGAGGTGACTGATAGTAAAACATTCATGTTTCCTTAGCTTTCAATTAGAGATTGTAAGTGCAGTTTTGCATAAAATTTGCATGCTTTGCACATTTTCTATGTAACTATTTTAAAGGTTCTATGATGGATGTAAAGTTAAAGTCATGTCTTTCGAGCGGATGCCCGGAATACACAAAATATGAATACATTATTTGTATCGATATGCATAATTTCTATTTATTAATTAAATTGTATGTGGAATAGATGATTAAGTTACGTTAGACAACATGCTAAATAAGTTTTCTATGTATACATATGTACATATTTAAATCAATCTATACTTCGCAAGTCGTACTTGTGACTTAAGTTATGCCATGCTTAATATACCGACCCGAGGATATAAAAGGGCAGCTAAAAGTAAATCCACCTTTCAGTTGTACTCTTTGTCGGTGATACTAGAAATCTTGAATCCCTCTTCAAATTTCATAAACTCTGATCAAACTTTACGTTTCCATTTTAAAAATGGCGTTACTAAAGGTGCGTCCCTTTCTGACTCAATAAATTTCCGATAATAAATTGTTAGCAGAATCTATGTAATCTAATCATCATTTCCTTTCTGCGTAGGTAACTTTCGCCCTCGGTCTCATTCTTGCCGTCTGCCTTGGGAACACTTTTGCCAAAAAGGACCATCATCATTATGAGATGAAGAAGAGGAGCACCGAATCCAGTGGTCTGAATCAGGACAAGGCGTCTCAATCGGTACCTGACTGGAAACCTGCATCCGGTCCACGAGAATTTACGGTCAACGTTGACGATAATATTCAAGGCGCCAATCAACATCGTCACGAGAAGTGGAACAATGGGACCGTCACCGGATCTTATGCAGCCCCAGGAGGCCGAAATGGAAAGTGGCTCAAGTACGAGTACATTGGGGATTCTAATGGCTTCAGGATAACTTCGTAAGTGAATTTTTTGTGCTACTTCAAATCTCAAGTCTCAGCAACAATATGTGAGAACGGGATGACTAGTTAGTCAGTAGGGTCAATTCATTCCATTTTGCACACATTTCTTGAGAAGAACCTGACCGGGTATTATTTTAATTTAGAAGAAGAGCTCATTTACACTAGTTTACATTTTATATTAAAAAGAATTGAAGTGAATTGCAGTAATTTACATGTTTATGAGATTCCGTCCTTGAGTCTTAAAATTTCCATAAACTTGCAACTTGTAGACGAGGAGGGTTTTTAGTTTGATTACTTACTTTCAAATTTTTAACTCATGAATTATTCATGTGCCAACAGAACGAAGGAAGTTACGCCTGAGGAATTGATGGATGGTAATGCGTCAGCTCAAGCCCACCAAGCCAACATCAACATCAACACCGATCACGATGCTCCAGTCAAGTACACCGTCACCGAGGACCAACTTAACGCCAAAGATAAGCAAGTTAAGGCTAAGCAATAATGCTATCGTCAGCCCGTCTTTCTATACACTAGAATTTTTTTAACTCACAGTAGACTAAATATAGTTTCTCATCTCTTTACGTTTTCTTTTACTGAACTAATGCAAAGGTTTTAATTTTAGTCAAAACTTGATAATGTGCGTGTAATGCAACCATTTTAAATTTCTGTGATAAATAAAATACGCTACATTTCTCAGCAATTATAATTTAAACTATTTTCTTAATTTCAGAAACTCAATAATCATACACATCGTTTCATATCTCTGTATCACTTTCATATGCATAAACTACTAGTTTACACTTTCACATTACATTACTTAGAAAATTCATATGGCATTCATAAATGCATCAACATAAAAAAGTACAACGAGAAGGAGGATACAAAATTACACTTTACGATTAGCAGTATTTATTTGTTGGTCTGGCAAAGTCCACGTCGTATTTCTCATTCCAGCTCCATACATACTTGGAATCTTATGTTTTTTGCCTTGGTTTTAAATCTTCATAACAGGGATGAAGGAATATTTGATTCTTCTTTTGCGGACTGTAGTACTCGTGCCCCTACAAAAAAATAAAGGAAAGATCAGCATAAAAATAGGCACGCATGCATAATACTCAGACAATCACCTAAAGTATAGATCTATATATCATATTTTCCTACCTTGGACCAGTCATAGCTAACGGCATATGCAAAAATTTGTCCATCGCCATTAAAAGCACAAGCCGTGATAGGTTGTTCCATTTGATCAGAAGTCTTGAGTTTTGTACGCGCATCTTTGTCCCAAAAACTGTAACGTCCGTCAGAACCTACGGTGGCAAGAGTGCCATGCTCTGGGTGGAATTTTATATCATTCACCTAATACAAGTGTACCATAATTTATCATTTGAATGATACTAATCGCATTATTATGTGAATTTTTTATGTAAATGACATACAGCATAAATGTCTTGAAATCCTTGATTCGTTCCATTGGACCGATGACATTTAAAAGTGAAGTTATCCTTTGGGTTACTGGGATTGACATATTGAATTGCAACTCGGCCCTCCACACTCCCCAAAGCAAATCCTGCAAGCAAATATTAGTTTTAAATTAAAAGTATTTAAAATGGGACTTGTGGAACAGCCATGAAAAAGTAACTATTTACCAGTTGGCTGATTTGTTTTATCTTTGAAAATTGAGATGCATCGATGTTGGTATTTTAGTGGGGAATCGATGCGTTTAAATTCGGTGGGTGTGTTGTCAAGTTTATATATGATCAATCCACGTCCCGCTGTTCCAACCACACCCATGGGATAACTCTGGAAATTATAAAATGTGATACGGCGGTCAGTACAGAATAAAGTAAAATACATTAATAAATCAAGCACGCAGAATATCTTACCACGTCGACGCAGTATGCGCGCTCTGGAAGTTGTAATTGTAACATTGGACTTGGTGCACGCGTATCCCAAAACTTAAGTGCAAAAATTAACAATAAATCATACATACATGTAATAATTATTTTGCTCTTACAACTTATAATTTACTGGATACCTTAATCATTTTATCCCAAGAAGTCGTCATTACAGCACTGTAATTCTGAGCCTTAATCCAGTGACATGATTTCACTGGAGCATCATGCTGAGCCACTTGAATAGTAGAATTACTTCCCAAATCCCAACATTTCACAGTTTTGTCACACGAGGCCATGAAAACTTTTGTTCCGTCCTATAAAAGTCAAACATGAAATTTAAATTTATTATGGGCATCAATTAGCAAATTAAACTGAAAATTAATTCAATTTTACTAACATCACTCCAACAGACATCAAGAATAGGTCCTGTCATAGACTGCATTGACTTTGGCACTGTCTTGCCCGTAGTTCTATCCACTTCCCAACAGCGAACCTTGTAGAAAATGCATAATAATGCGTAATGTTACTGAAATGCTTCTATTGTACCCGTCAAATACAATATACGTTCAACTACAAATATGAATATATAATGAATGGATTATTACATTATTATCCCAACTTCCAGCAATCAGAAATATTTGCGGGATAGTGGGAGGGCTGAATTGTAAACAGGAAACAGAATCATCTGGTGGACTTGTGACTTCAAAATCTCTCGGTTGAACGTTTTGAGCTTGTTGTGTCGGGTTAATTGAAGAGTTGATTGATATATTTTGAGGAACTGCTCCGAAAGATGACGAAGTTCCAAATCCGGTTGTTGCTCCTCCACCAAACATGATAAAGTCTAGTGACAATTTAATCGAAGTAAAACTAAGTAACTTCTGACTGGATCTACAATATATAAAATCAAAAATATTTATATTTCATATCAAATAAACATAACTTGATTCACAGTTTGGCACCAAGAATTGAATGAACGCAACAAAAAATCTATTGAATACTCTGATTGCAATTACCTCTTGCTTGTCAACACTATCACAAATTAATTAAACGTTTCAATCAGCAATTAACGTTAATCAATTTTAAACTTCCAAATTTCCCAACCTCGTTTCGTGTCTGCTGAAATGCCGTTTGCGCTTCAAGTTTGTTCAAACGTCGTCTCAATTTGCCACTGGTTCTGGTCCGCCACTTGCGCGAGGGGGCGTATAGCAAGGATGGAGGGATGCTTGGCGGGTTGAAAATCTGAGAGGAGAACGGGCAGATGGTTTCTGAGCAGTGTGTTTGCAGTCGAGTCTCATGAAAACAATAATCAGTGCGAACCACCCACACCCCACGTGATTGGGCTTATCAATGTCATAATTATTTCATATAAATCGTCATTAGGTCGTGGTAGTTAAGCGTTTGATAAGATTTGCTTGGGTGGGACCAGGGAAGACGAAGTTTGTGGGTGCTCCCATCTGGGAATGAGGATGATGACGGAGGGGGAGCGAAGGAGCGAGTGGATGGATATGCGCCATATTAGTTGTTGTGGTGTTGGTAGTGAGAGAGTGGGTAGAAAGTGGTGAAAGGGTGAAAAAGGTGGGTCAGAGGTTATCCGTGAGCTGGGTGTGGTTGTGGGGAGCCGTTGTGGTGTTTTGGGAAGCGGAGGTGAGACAGGGCAGTTGCTGGTGCGTGGCGTTGAGGAGGGTAACTACAGGAGTTGAGGAGACTTGTTAGTTAAGAGGTTGGGTCGCTGGTGTGCTTATTTTGCACTTGGGCCATCAACCGACCACCAACATCAACTCTTCTCCACTCCCAGTGGAAGTTGCTAGAGGTCGGCCAACTGCTTATCGCCAAATTCCACATTCCATAATTCCATGAACATGAAACGTCTCCCAGGCGCGTCCACCACTCCACTTGCATAGCACTCACAGCATGAAAACTATGTGGGTGTGGTTGTCGGTGGGAGGAGCACTTTTTTGGGATTTTATGGGGTTTTCTCTTCCTCTCTTGACTTGTAGTAATGCATCGTGGATAAATGGCACAAACTGAAAGAATAATACAAAAACACGACTAAAATAACTGGATATTTAAATGCACTATCGCTTTGTGTGCATTGCAGACGTGACAAATTTCCTGTGCAAACGATAGAAACTTGTAAAAAAGATTGAAAATGGAGGTTCAAGATGACATTGGATATTTGAGCATGGAGGCGGTTGACCATCATGATGACGACAGTCAGAGTCAAGGTAGGAATTGTGTTTATTTTTTATAATTTAGGGTTTTAGTGGTCAATGCATAGATTAGTATAAATAAGTGTAACAATCAAAATTTTATAATTTCAGAGCTCAAAGAAGATGCAACTTATTATGTTAACGACGAAGAAAATGATGACCAAGAGCAGTATCTGTACACGGAAGCTGATGTTCAAGGTAATTCATTTTGATTGCACTTTTGCAGATTTAGTGATAATAATGTAATGAACAATTTTCAAAGTAGTTACTTTTACTCTCATTAATAATAGAAGGAACAAGCAGCGGAATTACCGTTCATACTAGGGAGACGGAGGATGGTGACCCCGAAGTTTTGGGCATCGACGATGACGACGACTCTCAAGAAGAAAAGGAGGAGTACGAAACGGTCACGATTGTTCCTTCTCAGGGGGAGTCGGGCGAAGTTAGTTATGTTCTTATTGTCCAACAACCTGAAGCCAAGGAGAAAGAGGACGACATGAAAGTGTTTGAATTTGACGAAGCTGAAGGGGATATGCAGGTATGACATCGTATATATATATATATTCACTTTAATAAGTCAATATATATATAGGATTATCGGATTTGCATTGAATTTTTACTTTTTTGTAGCAAACTGACAACGAAGAAGACCTTGATGATAAAAATACTGTCAAAAAAGCCACAAGTACCCCAAAGAAGCAAACAACTGCGACTGCCCACATGTGCAATTACTGCAACTATACCAGTCCAAAGAGGTATGTGCATGCTCGTGTGTTTGCAAGATTAACCTTCGTGATATTTATTTATATGGGTTGGATAAACGACAACCCTAATTAATTTAGGTACCTGCTCTCTCGTCATATGAAGTCTCACTCAGAGGAACGACCTCATAAATGTAGTGTTTGCGAAAGAGGGTTCAAAACCTTGGCGTCTTTACAAAATCATGTCAACACCCACACAGGAACGAAACCTCATAAATGTAAATACTGCGACTCGGCTTTTACAACCTCTGGTGAACTTGTGCGACATGTTCGGTACCGTCACACCCATGAAAAACCTCACCATTGTTCAGAATGTGACTATTCGAGTGTAGAATTGAGCAAATTAAAGCGCCATATGAGATGTCACACCGGCGAGAGACCTTATCAGGTATGATTCGGTATCAATTTGTAATTAGTTCTGGAAATTTTGCGGTTGCATCTTTTAATCTTTATTAAAAACTTTTTAATTATGTAGTGTCCTCACTGTACATACGCAAGTCCTGATACGTTCAAATTGAAGAGACATTTGAGAATACATACGGGGGAGAAACCTTACGAATGCGATATTTGTCAAGCCCGTTTTACGCAATCGAATAGTCTCAAAGCCCATCGTCTAATTCATACTGGTAATCACATGAGAAAATTTGACCACATACTTATGATGTTAACGCATGAATGAATGACTAACTGGACTTGTGGATATTTAATAGGGAACAAGCCTGTCTTCAAGTGCGAGTTGTGTCCTGCTACTTGTGGACGTAAAACTGATCTCCGTATCCATGTCCAGAAGCTTCACACGTCGGAACGACCGTTAAAGTGCAAACGATGTGGAAAAGCGTTTCCTGACAGATACACGTTTAAGGTACTATATATTGAAAGCTTTTGACATTGGAAAATAGAACATCTGCGTAATATTCGTTTTTCTATTATTTCAGCTGCACTGCAAAACACATGACGGTGAAAAGTGTTTCAAATGCGATTTGTGTCCATATGCTTCATCTTCCCAAAGACATTTGGAGTCTCACATGTTGGTTCACACAGACCAAAAGCCGTATCAGTGTGAATTATGTGATCAGGTAATATAGCTTAGACTGAGACTTTTGTTATAATTGTTCCGATTGGAGTTGAATATTATTTTAATTGATGCTTTTGTTATTCTTGTTGTAGGCTTTCCGTCAGAAACAACTTTTGAGACGCCACCAAAATCTTTATCACAATCCAAATTATGTCCCACCTCAACCTCGAGAGAAGCAACACGAGTGCGCAGAATGTGGGCGATCATTCCGACACAAAGGGAATCTGATTAGACATATGGCTATTCACGACCCCGAATCTACTGCACAAGGTTTGTGTATGAAATATTTAAGCTTATTCGTTCCATATAGATCGTAATAATAATAAACGTAATTGACTATATTTAGAACGACAACTGGCTCTAAAAATTGGACGCCAAAAGCGAATTCAAGTAAGCCGAATGATTATTGTATTTATTGCTAGTCAGTCATACTATAATTTTTAAATTTTATCTATAGATTATCGATGGTCAACAAGTAGAAGTTATGGACGATGATGATGAGGACGATGAAGAAGACGAAGAGGATGATGAAACTCAAATGTTGGCTGTGGAAGGCGATGATGGGCAACAGTATGTTGTTCTCGAAGTAATTCACTTACAGGTAAACTATATAATTTGAAAAAAATTGTCCAAACTAAACACTCATTATTGTATATGGTGTCATATTTTAAAATTATTTTTAATAATTATTGTCTGTTGTGTATCTATGTAGGACGGAGACGGAACTGAACAAACTGTGGCCGTTGTTGGAGATGACACGGAACTCACAACGGAAACCGTAATGCATGACGCAACGGATATGGCTGATCTCAGTGACCCCAATCTCATGAGCCAACTAACTGATGCTTCAAATGATGGTACATTTTATTTTATTAATATTATTAATGCGATATTTAGGTATTATGTAGTTGTTAAAACATAATTCTAATTCGGCTCTTTATCCATTAGGATTCCAGTCTAGTCTAACCGAAGACAAGCTAGAAAAGAAGGTTGCAGTGAAACACGAAATGGTTACTGAGGATGACGTGAAAACTTGTTTTGGATTTGATGTGAGCCATTCTTAATTTGAAAAAATCATTTGAATTTTGCACTTCCAATGTGTATAACAATTATCCAATGTTTGATCATTATAGGATGACGATGACGAGGAAACAGAAGAAACTATGGATTACTATTAGATTCATTAAAGATTACTTAAAATAGACTGCATACTTTCTAATTGAATAATAATATATGTACCACCGTGTATTTGACGACTCGTTTTACATCACCTCTCTTGGTTTATATTTAACCATTTTAATTTTGCATATCTTACCAAACTTCCTAAAATTAAATACTCTTTAGTTAGTAGTTAGTTGCCTGCTGTGGTGTCACGTTTTATACAAAATATTATGTCCCATGTTAATATGCATAATTTTAAGTGTATGATCAGATTGATAGACCAATCGACCATTTTAAGTTTCTTATAATACCCATCATGAGGCCACATTGATTTCCGAATTTTGTACCTTAATTGTATAGTGGAAACGTGTAATGTAAAATATACTGTTAACGTTTGACGTGCAGGAGATAATATGTGCTGAACCAAAAAAGTCGCCAAAAATTTGTCAACACAGCAGGTTTTTAATATGCAAATCTTTTTGTACACACAGATCTTTAACCAATGTTAATAAAATATAAATATATTGTCAACTACATTTATGCAAACATACACATATAATAATTTAACCATGCGCATATGGAGAATCTGGTGTAAATTTTGCTTTTGGTATACTGGTCATTTCCAAATCCTTCGCCCACTCTGCGCCGCCATCGGTGTCGACGGTTGCATTCTGCGTTTTCTCCTTTCCAAACAGCACTTTCTCATCATAGTCAATCCACTCGTTCATTCTTTCTTCTCCCAAAATGCGGTTCCACAAGCGAATGAATGGTTTACTTAATAACTTTGCATGCACTTTTGTCGTGGACTTTGTCGCAGCAATAACAATGAAGCTGAATATTGTACCAAAAAGTAACGTGGCCAAGCCCCCGATGCCTGGCAGCCAAATGTAGGATGTTGACCAAACTAATCCAAATAATCAACAATGGGTTGGTTATTTAAATAATATTATTCATGACAGTAAAAGTAATTGTAAATGCCAATTGTGCCATTAAAATAACCGAAATTAGTGCCGTTATTTTAAACAACTTTTACCTTTAACCCAAAATGAGTAATCATTGTCTTTCCAGTTACTGTTATCTGCTAAATCCAGCTTCCACCACTCGCTAGGGTCGTAAAAGCCCGTGCAGACATCTACCTTGGTTCCATTGGTACAAGGGCAGCCTCGAAGGGTCAGGTCTAGGCGCATGTTGGGAAGGAGATCCTCTCTTCCAGCAAAAATGTTTCCCAACCCAACAAATCCGGATAACGCAATGGAACAAGCCATCCCCAATAAAATACCCTGTATTTTTTCATACATAATTATGCACTGAGAAAACAACACTTTTGTAGGATTTGAATTATATAATTACTATTGTGTTAGTCCAGGGGAGAAACATTCCTAAGCTAAATGCACCCAAAATTGGACCGAGAAGGGCTCCATGGATTAGAGTGGAAAACTAAAATTAGGGAATGTAACACAATTTTCATAATATCTCCGATTGCAGAGCAGCTAAAACTGAATGTGTGTGTATATGTACCGGTGAAATTTGGATTGTCTCATTTACAATTTTCACAATGAAGACTAATCCAAATGCCAAAATTCCTGTGGCCGTGGAAAATGCTTTTGAGGCGTAACCAAGCTTGATCTCGTCCCAATCTGGTCGGTACTGTTTCAAGAAATCTTCAGTGAGCAGAGCCGTCAGGGAATTTAACGCGGATGACACGGTGCTCAGACTTCCACAGGTGATCCCAGCAATCAGCAACCCAGGCAGGACTGGATAATCCCTTAGTGCGTCCATCACGAAGAGTGGCAAAAGTTGATCTGCAGACGTCACGATCTTCAGAAATAAATGAAACAAATTAAAATTTTTATTGGGTCAGAATAACACTCCAATTCTACCGATATTACAAATTGCGCCCACCTCTGCTTTCACCGGATCACAATCCACGTACTGAGCATAAACCAGCATTCCCAAGAAAGAACTGTTAAGAAAGCCATCCGTGTAGAATACTACTGCATACAAATGAATCTAATCCTAAGCAGATATTTTCTTACCACAAGAAAATTACGAGGATCATGCCAACCATGTTAAACACCAAGCACCTAAAAAGGGCACCAATTTTAGGGATTTCGCACTGACAATGTGGACATCAACACTTTAAAATCAAAGTTCTTACTGTCGAGACTGACGTAACGTTGGAACTGAATTGTAGCGCTGGATTTGTGCCTGCGTTGCAGCAAAAAGTGGTAACCACAACAGGGTGCCACCAATGCTCGCAGTCCAAAAAGTGTGGCGAGTCCTGGGGTCGGGATCCATGCTAATAATTAAATTTGTCTAGTTTATCTATACTGCTCTCGGCTTATATCTATCTGCTTACAAATGTCTATAATTTTTAATAGTGCATGGACTAACTTGAAAAATTTCGTTCTTTCCGTGTCTGCAGATCGTTCCCAGGCCACACCAAATCCACCCACTTCGATTACACCACAAATGGCAAGCGAGAACAGAGCCCCCATCATCACCACGGCTTGTAGAGCATCAGTCCATAAAACTGCCTTTAACCCCCCCTGCAAGGTTTTAAATTCAAGTTTAGGCACCACCTAAACCACTTCAGGAATATAATTTCATGAACTATTCTTATTACCAAAGATGAATATGCAATGCACACAATAAAAATTGATGCGGCCGATATTCGGTAGTCAAATCCAGCAACTATTGCAATTTTTAGAATATGTCAATTTACGAAAAGTATTTTCCAAAAGTATTTTATTTTATATGTATCAACCTTGATCGATAGCCAGCGCTGGTCCAAGCACAGTAATTGGCATGTAAAACATCTATTAAATACGTTATAGCTATTGAATCATTGTAGATCAACAAGTATATTATGCTGCATAAGATCTTACCAGGTGAATTATGGCGAAAATTGAGCACATTGTTCGGACCTAGAAAGAAAATACATTAATGATCAAAAATTGTGGAAGTTGTGGAAATGAAGATTCCTACTGTAGTTAAAGATGATAATGGGAAGCTTATTTGGAAGTTTGTTAAATAGAATTATTAAATTGTTCGTCACGCGAAAATAATATTTTATTGATATTATAGAAATAAATACTTACCCCCCTGCTGTACCTCCACTGCATGTACTGCGCATGAGACATGGTCATAATTTTTTTTTTTCAATTCTCTAAAGAAGGTGTATGCAAACTTCTTACCTCGTAGGCTGAAGTAAGTTGTAAATCAAAGTAAACCGGCACCTAGTTTGCATAATGTAAATAAAAAATAATGTAAATTGTGAAACAGCATGCAAACTGCAAAGTTAAGGGTCAATGGTCGTATTGTGTATTACATAGAGATAAGCCAATGCCGCCGTCATTGGAATAAATGCTAGTGCAATTATTGTGTATTGCTAAAATTCAGAATTTGTCAGAAATAAATTTTCAAATACAGGTAAAATATGCATTTATTATGAATTTACTTGTCCGTAGTAATAGACCTCCACGGGATTTCCCAGCAAAGTTACAGCGGACACAAAACTAAAAAAATGCAGAGGTGAGCCCACATATTGGACTTGAATTAAGGTGGCATTGTATGCGCCAGTATGCGGGTTTTTAATTTGAATTATCGTGTCTCATCTTTCCCATCTTCCATATATTCAAATGGCGATTTTGAAACCTATAGATCTCCGTCGGTTTTTTACAATATGAAGATTTTAATGCACATAAAAATCGATAATTTTTAGGCTTACAAAGTTAGGACTTTAGAATTTTGATTTTTTTCTTCCATGAGAAAATATTTAGTTTTTACTGATTATTTTGCATCTATTTCATATTTATTTCCTGATGGAAGAAAAAAATCAAAATTCTACAGTCCTAACTTTGTAAACCTAAAAATTATCGATTTTTATGTGCATTAAAATCTTCATATTGTAAAAAACCGACGGAGATCTATAGGTTTCAAAATCGCCATTTGAATATATGTGGGAAGGGAAAGTTGAGACACAACAATTCAAACTCAAACCCCGCATACAAGTGCACGTTAAGTAGTTTGCAGCCCAATCAAGGGTCAAAATATTTGGAAGCATACGAAATGTCACTTACCTACAGACCAAACTCAGCGTCACAGGTAAAATTCCCATGCTACGACCTAATTTAAAGTGCATGGCTTATTACAGAACATATGGCTTTTAGAATAGATGGCTTATCGCGAGATGCACTGACCTGCCATAAGAAATTCTTCATTAGTTTTGTTTTTATTGCCAAAACATCCGTAAAATACTCCGATGCCCAGAGACGCTATCAAAACCGCTCCGAATACGAGGTATTCTTCCCATGCTAAACTGTCCGTAAAACCATCGGTCAAAATTTCAACTCCTTCCGGCAGCGACATTTTTAGATTTTTAGTTGCTGTTGCTGCTCAGTGATAATTCCACAGCAAAAAGTGGCAGGTACGCCTAATAAAACTCAACTGAACATCATAGTCTTCCTTATGGGACAATCTATTTCAAATGGTATTTTCACTTATTAGCCCACCATCCATCATCGTGTCTCTTTATCAAAAAGTACACAAGTGCAAATTACATGGGAGGAATATGAGTACATGCAGAAAAAAGATGGGCATTGACAAAAGCTGTGATTAATTGATGCCACGACATTGATGATTGGAATTCTATTGTTTCAATTGCCACTGCAATTTGGAGATTAGATCTCAATCCAGACTTCAATAACTGACTCAAGGGGTAGGAATGACACGTATTGAAACAGTGTTCAGTACGAGAAAGTATGTGTTTATCATAATTTGTAGTTAATCTTATGTACTTGAAATGCCAAAACATACACACAGTTCTGCCTGATCATTATGCACTACAAATATTTACACTTTATTATGCACGTTAAATATCACACGGTAAATTTGTATTATCTGATAAATTAATTGTTTTGTCTGATTCTGAATTCACTCAAGTGAGTAACTGCTTTTGTAGATTTGATTAAATGTCATTATGTCATGTCCCCAAATTAAAACTGGACAAGTGAGAACGTGTGCAAATAAATTCTTTAGCGTAGTGTGTAGCAAGTGTTTAGTGCAGTGCAGTAGTGTTTGTATTATTAGACGAATCTTTCTATTTAAAACATTGCCTGAGTATTTGACAAAAAGGTTGATGAAAGTTGGACTTATCTCAACAACTAATCCTCAGTTGTTGCATTTAATCAAAGGAACAGTTTGTTGGAGAGCAGGTGGTCATAAAATTATCGACATGAATTAATTTGTCTTAAAGGCGGTTAGGATTCCCTTCATACACAATCGTCGAAGTTTTGCAAGCAAAGAATACGACTTTCTGTCGTACAGATTCTGTACGATAGATTATTCCATATAGAAACCTGTTCAGCCAAAAGAGTGGTTTCGTCAAGTATTCAGTTTCGCTAAACCTAAGGATGTGCACATGTAGGTTTTTGTAATGTTGATTAAGATGTACTTATTGATGTTACATTTTTAATTCCCTCATACATATATACATACATACGTACGTACGTATGTTACATTCATATAAATATCTTCAATGTATGCAGTTACGTAGTCTAAAAATCATTGGGGGAATTCATCATACTCGTCTAAATACCGGAGCAATATGCAGGCCCAAAGTACAAAATTAGTGTGAAAAACATAGAAAACAAATGCCAGTTACTTTCTACAGGAAACCCTGAATGTTATTTGTTCTAAGAGTTTATAAAGAAAGTAGACGACACAAAAATCTCATCCACTGATCCTCAGACAATGGCGTATCTCCCGTATCTCTTTTTGTTGGACAACCACGCGTTGTTCTCGTTTGCTTATGTACACACAGAAAACAAGAACAACCACACATGCAGGTTTTTAAGGGGGTAATCTTTGCCTAAAATCACTTTGCGGTAAAATGACATAAATCCTTGTGGTGGATGAGCATATTTGGGAACGTATAAAAATGGTAAAATGAAGACGATGGTGGGGTTAAGTAAGAACATGGAACGAGAACGAGATGTCACAGACTCGGGATCAAAATATCAGAATTTTTAAACAAGCATTGAATACGAAATTAATTTTCCTTTTACGAAGGATTACACGTGGATTCAAGTAAATCCTTCAATTACCTGAAAGCATTTTGCTTTCCCTGCCAAGGATAAATTCTGTCGGATCACTAGGCATGCACAGCGTCTCTTGAACACGGGCTCAGCGAGTAAGAAGGACACGAATCTCCTGAAAATATAATGGCATTCACATTCACATCACATGAGCCTTGCGTAGGTAAACCTTAAATCAAACGCCGTGTTCTCCGCTTTAAATACATTCGATCTGGTCCATTCAAAAAGTACTTCCAACTTCACAAACACACGAAGTATTTTAAACGCGTTACAATGCAATTTTTCATGTTTTCCGCTAAACTTTAAAAATAAATTTCACGTGCATATCATTACGATTCGGCAATTACAATGAACTTTTTATTATTTCCGAGAGGATTGGTTTTCGATCTTGGTGCTTTACATAAAAGAGAATGAACACAGTCGAGTTCATCAATCACGTACTGCTGCTACCATTCGTTTGAACTCTTTTAAATTTAATTTAGGATAGGAATGGTAATTGTGATTATAACAATAAGTAATAATAATACTTCTGTGAATAAGTAATTCGCCACCATTAATGTTTTCTTCATTTAGCAGAAGTGAAAAAATGTAATTTCAGCAAACTAGCAATTTTAATTTTAATTTCTTTTCAGTACATGCACATATTAAACTGCTTTCGTGCAGCGCAATATCCGCATCTTCTAAATCACACGGAGATCGAGAGATATTTTACTTTCTCCTCCACATCCCAGTCTGAATATCAATCGCTTATATTCACTGATAAAAAATCTTATCACGCAATGTTCCACTTATTGGTTTGCTTTGCATTAGGAGAACAAGTATTTATGGTTCCAGTGTCGTCTTTCTTGTTTTGCGGCAATTTATAGCACGTTCGAGAACAGACTTCCAAGTTTAAAAAACACCAAGTATGCGATCATGGTATGCATGAATGCGAATGAAAATATGAGATCAATTAATAATTGACGTTTGAAATTAAGTTGAATAATAAAAGTATTTATTACTTCATTTTTGAATGATGATGTGTTTACATCATCATTATAATTTTTGCGTCGTTGGTATGTTATAACTCGATCGAATGTTTTGCAAGCTTTTTTGTTTACTGTAAATGATATTTTATTTTACGCCGCCTTCTACCTTAATAATGACTTCTAGGAGGTACAGCGAGGTAAGTAACGTATTTGCTAGAATTACACCGCACTCCTAGTTCTACATAAATACATTATTAAATTAATAATCGGAATAAAAGTTTCATAGTTATACCGAATGCACCTCATTGTAGATTTGCGAATAATACATTGCTCCGTCATTACATGTATAAATCAATAAAAGAGTTTCAGTACACTATAAGCTGCAGAAACCACTCGAAATTTTCAAAAACAGAACTGGCTACATATACATATTTACAGAATACCACGTTCTCCGGGCACATTGCTGCTGCGTGCAATGCAAAATCTCATGCTATTTATTGTATATATATTCTTTACGCGTGCATACATACGTATCTTACCCTCTTACAGTTACATAATTTTCTACTTTTTAATGAGACAATGAACAAGGAGTTTGTGATGGATAACATTCATATGGATATATTTTGATCCCTTGACTCGTCGACTAAAAATACGTTAATGCAAGCTGCCAATTGATGGGACATGCTAAACATGCGTTCATGTAAGTATTTCATTTCATTCGAGTTTTTTTGTGATCCATCGTATGTGATAGTAAGGAAGGGGACTACGTGTAAAAGACTTGATTAAACTACTCACGTTATGAAAGTCATAATTCTTATATATTCGATTCTGATCGCTGATGGGGATTTATAGTTTATTTATGTTGCCACCACTGGTCAGGATTTGGTACGCTTGACTATTTATAAGTATACAAAGTCTAGTGCAGAGAAATTGCGACGTAAAAGTTGTGACCGGAACAAGCAAATGTTTCCGAAATGACATAAACCTTTAACCACTGTAAACTGTAAGGTCTACATAATTGTTAATATGCTCAACAAATCAGCACCTACATAAAATATTTTGTGTGCTCATTTGCATAAGTATGTATACAGTGCATGCGTGCTCTTGTGGTAATAATATGGTGTTAATTATGTTAGGATTAGTATGCTTATTATTGGTGCATGTGGAATAATTACATATGCATAGACACACATATGCCATACTCTAGAAAATTTGCCACATTCTCTTTTTTGCTGATTTAGTTCGGCGTTTCTGATCCATCAAAGACTTTAGAATAAAAGGAGTACTAATAACATTACTACTTTTCATATTGTAAGCGGTAACAAGGATTGTGAGGATTTGGTATGATTGCCATTACATGTATTTTTGGCTACATTTATGTCACAAGTTTTATAAATTTACATGCGGGTCCTACAAAATCACGTTGAAAGACTCTTCTGCTGTGGTCGTCATTGTCTTCTTCTTCTAAATAAAAATTCACCGGAAACAACGATGACATATGTACATCACTTGTCCAAATTGCGCTTAAACGGTTCTTTAAACTAAATACTAGTACATAGCAATTATGTGGGTGACTAATGCTCAAGATATTTGGTTACTACAAATATCCAGCCATCTAAATTTATGTATGTTTCTAGCTATCTGTAACAATAGTTAAAGCTTGAGATGAGGATTTTTTTGTGAGGTTATAAAGGTTCTTAGACTCCGACAACTTGTCCATTCGTCAAGGGCAGATGAACCGTTCCTTCCGCTTTGATGGCTGAGATCAACTGAAATAGAAATAGGTACATTTCTTAGAAAATTGAAGGCAATGCTAGTTTGCGCTGCATAATGAACGGTAGCTTTCACTTGGGTTGGATTGGCCTGAAATCTGGCTGCAGTCACAGGAAATTACGAACCGTGTGTAAATATAGCTATTTTGCTGCGCAGAAACGAATGGCAGTGCGAAAATATAAAATCTATTAATATTATTATTATTTCTAGTGAAATTCATCAGCTTCCAGCAAGTTCCTCCAAAATAAGCATTCTACGAATGTCACATTATTCACAAGTTTCCAACTTAAGCTCTGTTGATGAGCTACTGCAACGGCTGGGAAACAGAAATACCACAACGAATAAATCAAATGCCTTTTCCTGTTGTAACAAGCCAGCCTGTAATATTTATTTCTGAATAAAGGTGGCAAGGCAAAGGATCCGTTTGATGATTCCTGATTACTTTCTTCACTGTGAGTATTTCAAATTTTGGATAATATCTTTGAGAGATTATAGCAGCCGTTTAAACGTGAAAGTAAGGGTTCAACTATATTTAGAATTGAACGTGCCAGCAGAACACGGTTGGTTGGTCGTACGAAATTGTTCCTCTGAGACTTGCACCACTTCCACTTTGTCCCCCTCCTCCGCGAACCGAGAACCATTTGAATTGTCTGTGGGTGAAAGACGACCCAACGTGTCCAACTTTCACCAAAGAAAGAACAATTTACTCACTGTTCTGCTCGCACTGCGGCCTGGGCACAACAAGCGATCCAATGAAGTTGATTCTACTCTCCCGATTGAACAAAGAGAGTGTGAGAGGGAAAGTACACAAACAAAGCGACGAGAGCCATAAATAAATATGAGAATCGGGAGAGGACATTTGAAGCATTAGGGAAAGATAATGTATAGCTTTTCTCACTATTTGGTCTTATTGCAGCCTTTTATTGAAAACTTATGTGCTTCGTAGAACAGAGTTCCAATGAATTTCTCTACGTGCAACATATCACATGTACAGTCTGTCATTTTTTTAGTGGAATTGCCATTTCAGACAACAATTAATTTCAAAAGTTTCCCATTGACTTTGCAACTTTTGTGCAAAGTGATTGAATGGAGTGTGTTTTCCCAAAGAAGAAAGAATCCCAGAGAAAACTAAAGCTGTGACAGTATCTGTAACGTGTTAAATAAATGTCGTATACAAACTTTCGTCTCACGGAAACCTTTCGTACCTAAAGAGGGGAAATGAAATACAAAGTGAAACTCAGTTTGGCTTCGTTTGTTCACAAAGGCCTGAAGGTGGATTCCAAAATTAATTTCCTCCCAAAAATCTTTATATAAAATGGGAAAAACATGGCCTGGACTAGAGGAGGAAATTGGCGTTGGCGTTGAAAATATCTTGCCAAGTTAAAGCAAAGGCTTTTTCGCAACTAATAAAGAACAAAGATGAATCTTACTAAATTACTACTCGGCTGCATTGAAAACTGTTGCATAAACTAAAGAAAATTTCACGACAAGGAAATTCTGGAACCTAGCGGATTTTGGTGGTTGTCGAATCCTTTTGTATTTTTTCTTTCATTTTAAAATGGTGCGTTGTTGAGGAGAGTTTTGCACACATGAGAGCATTTTTCTGACGTGATAAGTATTTGTACTGTGGTGACTAGGACCTGCCTGACAGTGACCGCCTGACATGCCATCAGCGCCAGAATGTTTTTACAAAAAGCACATGAAGTGAAAAACATTCAGATACCAAACATACAATCCCACGTCCCTATTTTTAAGGTTGTTTTCTGGTAAAAAAGCTGGAAAACAAAGCATAAAGCTACACACAATTTTGCTGCGAAATTGTGTGTTACAACACAACTTCACGCAGAATATAGATTTCAAAGCTAGTATGTATTTCCTGTCATTGACATGTATGAGATTCTGGTACGTACACATGTTGTGTGCAAAACTAAATAATCGAATTTGCAGTTTCACCATTTTACAATGTCCCATATTTCAGGACACAATGAGACACAACGAGCTCATTCCGAATGGATTCTATTCCTTACTTTGTGCCCTAGCATTCTCCCAATCACCTCACAATGCGAATGTGTTCAATAGAAAATGAGATTTTTTCAGAGAACTGAAAAACTAAGAAGAATAACATGAGGATTTTGCTCCCGAATATATTTGACGCTTCCACCAAACCTGGAAGATGCTCCTTCCTATGTACACTATGAATTGATGACACGACCAACAGACGACGTAAAACCTACATGTGTACTGAAAAGTCCAGTCCAATGAAATAAAATCCAAGGAGGAAAAATACAAAGAAATCTGGTCAGCTGAAGGGAACCAAGCAAAAAAGAGCAGTCACTTATCAAGTTTTTTCAAAGTCCAGCCAACGGGGAAAGAAAAGAAGTGAAAGTGAAGTTTAAGGAAATGGAGAAGAATTGGAAGGGGCGGTCGTGTGATGGGAATCACGGTCACTCGATTTTAAGAGAACTTTGTTGGCCATACCACCAACCAGATTTATACTACAAGTCAGCTAGCATAAAATTAAACTGCTGTCAGGAGCCATAAATCATCAGCCCAAAAATGAAATGCTTGTGCAGCAACTTTCTCCACCGCCAATCTACCCACAGAGTGCTAGTCAGTAGCCTAGTCCATCTATACCCACTCCTCCGGTGGCATTCAACAGATCGAAAACAAACAAGAACTCCACACAGAGTTTCTGCGAATGAACGACCTTTTAGAGAGCGAGTGGAGGCTGGGCTAATAAATGGTGGACAATGGAGACACTAACAGATAGGTTGGAATGTATATATACATTCGTACGTATAGAGAAAGTCGACAGGGCTGTGCGAATACGGGGTTCTGACGACGAGGTATGCGGTGGAAACTATTTCTGCCTCAAGAAGAAAGAGGAGGAAACAAGATTACATTTAAAACAAATAAATCTTGTTAGTTGTTCATGCTCAAAGCAGGCATTCAGTCCGGATTTGTGTGTTTCGGGATGTTTTACTACATCCATATCGCTACACATCTCATCGAGGCAACAAAGGAGGCATTGAATACAAACCTATACCTGCAACGTTCGTATGGCAGGCACTTATTATTCCTTCTATATTGTTCCTCATATGAGGAAAGAAAACTCATTTTTATGACAAAGTGACTGTCTCGGCGTAGAAATTTCAACGTAAATAGATTTAAAACTTTTCCAAATGACACTTTTTGAAATGACAATCTCCTCCACAGCCGCACAATGGAGGTCGTAAATACATGTACAAAAATACATTCGTATCTATATCACAAATTCAACGTACTTAGAAGAGCTGTCAAATTTTCCGGAAATTTAATATCACGGAGGATCTGGTGTCAGAGAAAAGATGAGACAAAAGAGAAATGAATGAATGTAGCCATTTAGTATTCCGGCGCAGGCTGCAAACACACTTTGTGTATGCATTCACTCGTATCATTACAGAATTATCCGCAATAAGAGGTGGAATATGCAGCAGTGGATTGTAGATTGCATCACGTATGAGTGAATTGAAAAGCTTTCACTCTCACCCAGACCAAAGACTTGTCTCTCCGAGGGACAGCGCACGGAATGGTAAAGAGCCATGAATTGATGGTGTTTCGGTACAAAAAGGAAATGTAATCCAAACTGGTTTTGTAAATTGGCTGGGTAAAAGCTGATAATGGACTCGTGGCTGTGTGTCCGACATGAAAAATGCCAAGAGGCTGCCGCACACAGAAACTGCCCGCTCAAGTGCTACGTGTACATGGAACCGGTCAGCCAGCGCAATTGAAAATACTGGAACCCATTTCTGAGAAGCTTGGGGGAATTTTACACAGGAGGAAACACGATCGTTAATCTTCGTCCACTTACGCCACAGTGCTCATCAAAACTGGGTCCGTTGCCAGTGCTGCTGTTTGTGATGACACAAGGTCCATTGCATGAGGGAAGAATAAGAAGGTTGTCCGCATGGGAGGTTTGAGTAGACGCCTCCATCGGCGTATGAGAGTACGGCGTAGGCGAATTTGAGGAACAGTTGCTCACTCCGCCGGCCAGAGAGCATGATGAAGAATGGGCAGACGACAACGCCGAGGAGGCGGCGAAACATCCGTTCACAACGCTTGCTCCATTCCCATTTAGCAGGTGAACTTGAGTCACGCCGTTGCAAATCTCTCCGTTGTTGTTGTTGTTGTTATTATTGGCGTTATTGGCGGTGGTCGTGGTGGCGGAGACAATGCGTCCAGATCTGAACAAGTCCCCGTGGTGATGATGACCACAATCATTGGTGGAGGTGGAAGTTGAAGCCGTGCTGGTGGCAACCACGGTTGAGGAGATTCCACCGCCGTACAAAGTAGATTCCATGACCATTAAAGAAGAGCTCTCTGACCGCTGATGATGAGGGGAAGAAAGGTCCAGATCCGTTTGGCAGTGAGAGTCCTCCATCAGATTGTCCCCAATTACGTTCGGATTAAATCCATTTGGTGAACCACTTCCATTCGAGGTGCATCCTCCAATTTCTCCGTCCTTTCCGTCCTACATGAAAAATTTAAACAACACATTTTTACTCTCTGCATTACAACCGGTATAACATCGCATCACGCGTAGTTTGGAACATGAAATAAATTCCAAGACATTTGTGCTGATTAGTGATCGTTGTTAATATATGAAAGGATACGAAGGAAGTCTCTGGCCAGCTCGATTTAGACTGCGTAATAATTCAATGCTTAATTTTCACTTTATATTTTATGCAACTGGGCACCTACGCAGCTAGATTCAGGGCATATATAGAAACTTTAGCTTGTTTTTTTTCAACAGTGCTTCCCCTAAATTGGAAAGCAAAGTAATGTACCTACACATTGATTATGTATCAGATGATTGTACACTTTTTGCAAATAAAACCGTGTACACCATGGCCAATAAATTCTTGTCGTCAATCACACATGGAATTAGTTGTATCATTTCGTAATGCTACGTTTCAATCTTATTGTGGCTACACGCAACCATTTGAAAAGCCTGTTCTTTCTTCACAAAACTAGTAACACAATACGTGCAGTTTTTACAAACCTATCACGATCAGCAATTTTGTGATTGCATGATAAACGCTCAAGTAAAAGTTCGGTTGCATGCACCATTCTCGCTTCAATTCAAACATGTGTAATCACTCATCCAATGCAATTCTATTTTTCCAACATGAAAACCGATCCGATCGTGGAAGAAAGTGAACAAACTTCACCTTTAATTTCCAGTTTCATCATTTTAACCAAATAAAAACAGCAAAATAGATATTTAATATTTATGCAGTTTTCCAGTTTGAACATAAATGAACCCAAGACGCAGAATGTTCCGTGGGCACAAGTAAAAAAAAATGGAACTAAACCTGAGATAAAATGAAAAAGCAATTGAAAAAGTCTGATTTCTGTGTACATGTGAAAAATGTTGCGCGTATAAAAATGGTGGGCGCATTGGAGCGGAGGCCAGAGGGAGAATCATTTCATTGGACTGATATTGACTGAGCAGAGTCAAAAGTCGCCTCTCGCTTTCACTTCCAAATTCCAAATCCGAGTTGGATTCGATACATCACGTGGAGGAGAGACCAGAAAATAACTCAAACTCGTAATCGACGAAAGTTTGGTGGATATGAAACACATCCTGCACTAGCCCTTGCTCCCTTCCCTGCTGCTCCTATGTGCTGTGTGCATTCGTAGCTGTGAGGCAGAAAATTTGAAATGAAATGAAAGTTCCTTTTGCCTGAATGCTTCACCAGATTTGATTAGGTTTAACTTGATGCAGTGCTCGTAAGGTGATCCGACTGGGTGCCAACATCCACGACCAGCTCTGCCTACCACGTAGCCACAAAAACTTTCACTCTCCCCGATGGAGAAGTGTCATACAGACAGACAGGAGGCTGGCCAAAGTGGAAATGCATTATATTTGCGGTTTCATAGAGCTCCACTGTTCCAAATTGTAACCAGTAACGATGGGACGACTGACCGTGTAATTATTGCCCCCAAATATTATGATGAATATTCCTATACGCATACGTGTACATAGTAAGTTGAGCAGGGCTTAGATTTTGTTATATTCTGATCAATACGATCCCACATCCACTTTCGACATTAATCAGAGAGAAATGAGAGAATAGAACAATCCATTATCCTAATTTGCACAGATTTCTATTCAAATCTCACGCTGGACTGGAATTGACTCCACAGACCCAGCCTCCCCTGTGGCGTCTGGTGGTTGCGAAACTGGTGAGTTTTCTAGAAACCCGTTAACAACAGCTTGTTCCATAATTAAACGGAAATTCATCGCCATTCTAAATGAGCCAAGAGTGAAAGTCAAGTGAAAGTAGAGAGAGAATCTTCGCCGTCATCACATCAAAGAAAAACTTGAGTGAGGCTTGAAGCAATCTGCTGCCCCAGAAAATATCCTGTGAGAACAGTTGCGTGACTTTACTTATCGTCCACTTTAAACACAAAATCTTGTTTTTACGTTCCAGCGCCTTGCATGATCCAGTGACAGTTTCAAAAGTTTCTCTACGTAAACTTTCCTCCTCAACAAAAATTGTTTGTTTTCGTTCTTCTACTGGTAAATACATATCCATTGATGTCATATTGCTCACAGCATATTTACTCCATCCCTCCCATATTCAGTCAGATATCTGACTGAACTGTTGACTGTTAGAAAGCGAGAGAAAGTCTGCAACGAGAAATGTTTCTTTATTCGCCAGGATGAGAAATGTTACAAATAAAAATGAGAGAATACGTTAGATTGCATCTTATAAAAACTTTCTTAATGAGCCACTACACTTGACAGGGGAAAGTTAGTTTCTGTCGTGGCATTAATTAGTGTGGAAAGACGACAGAACTAAATTATTTGAACAAAAAATTGTGATAACAAAGCTGTTTCATTTCGTTGTTTTGTCGTCTGGCAGTAAAAATCTAATAAAATTCAAGATGTGCATGCTTAAATTTAATAAGACTTTCTGCTCCGTAACAAACAGTTAAAAATTCCGAATCACCCCAAAGTTCAATATGCGTTGTGCAGTCGAGCTACCATTTTACCACTACCAGTCGAGCTAGTATTGCCACCGAAAGAAATGAAAAGTCAATAAAAAGTTACTCACGGATTGATCTCTGGCTTCCATTCCGAGTTGATAGATGTTGAGCATGTGAGCCGCTTGAACGTGCACCTGAATTCAGATCGTTCGGATATATAAAAAATGCAATTTGCAGAGATACTTGATATTTGACTTACCATTAAATCCCAAGCCGAGTGAAATGAATCCTGCAATGGCAATGAGCAAATTTTGCAGTTCTTAGCTGACCATTATTGTCAAATTAATCATGCAAAGATAACTAACCTTGCACTGGGAACATAACAAAGCCGCCGGCTCCTCCCCCGATGTTTCTAAAGATTAAGGACAATAACGTAAATGTTTCGAACGATTGAGTTTCCAAATTGCTTGCCGAATATTATTGTTATGACATGACACTCACTTCCATTAATTTGATGACATTTGCAAGTAAACCTTAATTTACAGTAATTCTTTTTGTGTTCCAATAGTTGCTCAACTTCTGAGAATAGTTCTCTGCAATTTCCGCATATCAGGATGTCCGGCGTACCTAGAGGAAAACATAAGTTGATTTAGATTACGATTTTTCAGGACTAGGATTATTTTCATCATAACCATGTTCCAAACTTTAAACATGATTTTTCAAGACACCGCAGCGCGACCGTTAACCTTTTACACCTCCCGCTGCATTTAATCTTGTGAATGTTATGACTCAGCGCCTCACAGTAAAAAGTTAGGGGGAGAACAAATGACAAAACGTATAAAAATGCGTCATTTGGCGTTTATTTGGCACGATCTACACATTTTGATTTGGTGATGTTCTCAACTTGTATGTACCACCTTGCATTTCTCCTCCCCGCACCAGACTTATATCTTTGCTTTGGTAATGCATGCTATGAAATGTGGTGATTCAACGATAAAGCCGGCAGATGTTATGAACCGTAACCGAAATACAGGCGCACACTTTGTCTTCGCTTTGTGAAACTGCATACCTCATTCCTTTTGAAGCTTCAAAATATAATGCTAAACTTTCTGGAATTTCTATATTTTCAAAACTATGTGGAAAAAATTAAGGCTGGAGGTGACAACAATTATACCAGACCATACCAACTGTGGCAGTTTATTCTCATGTCCATAATGCTCAGATGTCCTGTTGGCAAACGTGTTGGAGAAAGTGTCTCAACCTCGGAAAAAGAAGTAAAACCAATCTCACGGAAGGTTTGAAGGCGTCGCATTATGAGTTTGTTTTATCACGACATCCCAGAAATGGTCTCCTCCGCAATTCCCTGTCGACTCATCCTTCTACGCATTTGTTGTGCAATAGGAGAAAGCACCTTCTTCTCCCACACCCAGCAATCTTGGGCAACAACAACTGCCTCCAAATTCCTCCCTACGTACGTATATCCATACATACATAATAAAGACGGCTAGCTGCTCGGAAGTTCTCCCGTCACCATGAAGCTCTAGTAGACAATTTCATGAGGTAATTAAGCTTTCACGGTTACGTTCACGTTCATGTTCTCCTTTCCCTCCTCCTCCTCCTCGACTAACAGAACAAAGAGCAGCACTGCATGCAATCAATGTTATCGACAATTTCTCCATCCATGTCGTCGTAATACTGCCATCGTTCCCAGAGTCCGAGAACTATGTGACAGTGGATATTTTATGTTTATTATTTCTAGAATAATGTACAAACACTCGGCTCTGAGCTGCAATGGACCAAATAAATTATCAAGATATGCAGCTTAACCTCGCATCATGAATTTTGGAGTTGATTTGGAACAACGACAGTGAAGCAATCAACGGAGAATCAGCAGTATGAGCAATAAGACCATATATGTATATATAAATCTTGGTGGATTTCGGAGGGAGGAGAAGTAGAGCTAATGTACATACGTCAGATATATAAATGAATAATTGAGCAAGAACTTACTGTAGGATTTGAGGTCACCGAGAGAATTGCAAGCAGGATGTGACTTATTTGGCGATGGAAGTTTCACCACAGATTTGTTTTGTGGGTTTGCAGGCACATGAAGCCGGGCTCTTTTCATCGGGGGTACGAGTCTCGGTCCAGGAAAACCAACTTGAGCATAGTAGCTGAAAAGTATAGATTTATAGTAGTATTATCCACTGTGGAGTAATTTGCAAATCCATATTATTTGTATTTTTTAGGTGATGGCGAGAAGGAAGTCAATTTTCTTGTCAAGAAATCAAAGCAATCCACTTTGGACCCGTTCTTTAAGCCTAAAATTTAATTTTTACTCTATTTTCCATATGGTTCCGTTTTTTTGTTATTTTTTTTATTGAGCAATAGTAAAGAGACTCAAGCTGCAATTTCTGCAATTTCAGACTGTCACAACAAATGGAAAAGCCATTGTCACCCTCGGTCTCTAAATGTTCAATTATAACTACCCATCAAATTTTAATTCTGCGTTACAAAGCATACAATTAATATTTATAAAAAAGACTGTTGAACTCTCCGCGATGTTACTTAATTGTTGGGTGGTCTACAAAAGTCATGCAGTAAGCAGTGTGGACAAAAGGACGCATCGCAAAATAATCATCAGTTTGCACAGTGACGGGAGAAATTAGAATGAGAACTGTGGAAATGTTTCCCAAGTCATTAGCACATAATAACATACACGTCTTGAGCCGGACCCATTTATTATGCATGTATGTATGCAGACTGGCCATGGACCCAGCGGAGAGAGAGTTGTCATGTTCTCTGGGACTCTGAGATTAATCTAATCCGATTACTGGATAACATTCATCCTCGCTGTTCCTGCCCCATCCACTTTCTCAAAGCTTCAGCTCACTAATTTCTTAGATTGAAATGTCATGACGTCCATCTAACTACTTTAGCCATCACCCTCAACCCAACTTAACATGGCGTGCAAATATATATGCATGATCACTTTCTCCAGACTTTGCCCTTGTTCTAGATTCTTGGCGCTAAGTCATTAGCAGCTTAAGCAGGAGCAACAGCAGAGTCGCCAGGCAGCGGAGATGCGGTGGTAGTTCTCCGTCAGCATTGCGTAATTAGCGCTAAAGAGGATGATCGACATTGACGTGATAATATAATTGACACTTCTTCCATGCAAACTTTCTTTGCGAGCCACCATCCACCTACTTACGTAAATACTTCTCCTTTTGCCTCATTAACTCTCAATGCACAGTTTACATGAATTATTGTGTAAGATAAGTTATGCAAATTTTTCCACTTGTTATCGTGATTCAGATTTGTACCACACTCATCAGCTGAACTCTGCTTTATGATGCTTGCAAGAAAATTCCTAAGAGACCAGATCTGAATTTAATTTAGACAACCAATTTGTTCGTGTTTTTTACAACAATATATTCCTGAGCTTACACTGCCACAAGTGCTTGATATTTTTTTGCATATACAAACGAATACTATGAAGCTCAGTATTCGTCTACGAGCAAACTTGCCTTATTTTTTAGACGGATTTGAATAAATTTTCAGAATGACAGAACCCTGTAGGATCTGTCATAATAAATAATCGACCCGAAATTGGCAGGAGCTCTGGTGCCACCAGTAGCGTTAATTACACTTGTTTTAATTTGGTTGGCCCATTATTCTAAATTTAGTGGACGTCTGTGGAAAATTTAACCTCTGTCATTTGTCACCTATTCCGCCCTTTTAAACTCATGTTTCTATTTCTGTATTCTCATTATCTAATTTTGGCAGGCTATCGAGATCACTCGCGTATTGAGGGGCTAAAAATAACACACAATAAACATCGATCCTCACTATTATGACACTATTTTGCATGTAAAAGTTCGGCTCGACGGGTCTGTAGAGTCTCAAACGAGTTACGTGTTCCTTCGGAATTTCTATTTGAAATATGCTCGAGATTTGACAAAGCATGTCCCCTCGACGATAAGGTGTGTACACACATACTTGCTCTTGCTGCCCTCGTAAATACATAGAAATACACAACATACTTATTTTTGTCCATTAGCATTGTCGCAGCGACTTGAAGATTGAATTCTTGATTGCAGTGTTTGAACGGGAAGATAATTAGGAGTGACAGGAACATGAACACAATTCTTACCAACAATTAAAGCCAGGCGCAAGGCGGAAAAGAGACCACATTTTCTCTTGTGCAGAAGAAAGGTGCACGAGAAATGTGACTAATGCAGTTAATTTACGCCACACGGACAAAGGATTTTTTTATTCGGGTTGCTCAGGCTGGCAAAATGAAAAACAATTCAAAAATTGACTCAAAAAATATCTGCAAAAATGTTTAAAAGCAGGTTCAAAAGTTAGCTTCACAAAATTGTAGAATCAAAATTTGATGGAAGTAGATATAATCTCAAAATATTTTTTATATGACCATTTTCGTTTTGAGCTTAAAATGTTAGCAAAATGGAAACTTCTCAAAATTTTTGTATTTTATGGTGACGGAAAGGAAAAAATGGCGAAAGGGACAATAACATGTACAACTTGACTATTTGCAGCCAGATGCGATGATCCCCACTTACCTATCGTAGTAGTAATCCCTGAAAGCACAAACCAAACAATTCATTAAAATACTTCAAATCTGACACGCAAGTAAGTACCACTTTTTACAACGAGCTTTCTTAAGTAAATACTATTCATCTACACTGCTTGAAGCCTGCTTATTATACCCAACCAACAAAAAATCTATGTATCATCAAGCCCCGTTTTACATGGAGATCAGCAATAAACTTATGCACTCTGAAACAAGTACATCGAATATACGTACTAAAGTAAGTATTGAAAGAAAAGTAGCTCTTCATTGCTAGCACTGAACAATTTTACGAGGTGATGACTGATATATACATCACTCTGAATGCATATTCTACGTGCACATACGTATGTACATACATATGAACGTCGTAATTAACTGGATTTTGTGTCGGTTATACAGCGTGTAACATTTTAAGTATCTAATTCATCCACAGATTTGTCTTCCAGATTAAAGAGTTCTCAGGCTTTCTAAATTGAAATATCACTCAACCGGGTTTCATCAATGAATTTATTTACATCACTAAAAGGTTTAGATCAATCCAAGTCGAGTTGTGTCCGTGTATGCACTAATTGCTTAAGCAAGTGCACTAGCAGGTCTCATACATAGGCAGTAATAAGTAGTATTTTCTTGTACAAAGTTTGTTGTCTGTTATGAAAACATCATTTAACCGGCTAAGGAGGGGAGCTTGCGAGGTTGATAATAACAGATCCTGATGCCCTTTGGATATGTGGTAGGGTCCCATGAGTGTACTAAAACCCTGAAGTGGTTTGACTCCATGGCCACATTTGCGCCCGCCACACCCACTCAAAAATGCCCAAAAAACGCTTTCACTCCAGGTTTCACTCATTCAAATCCACGCCAAAAATCCAATTTTACTCGGATTTTGAAATTTCTTTCACCATTACACTCCCAGATAGTTGCTTTCTTCAATCCAATGTCAAACTCAATTTTGATGATGATTATTTCGCAGGCATAATTTGCGTTGTGGATTACTACAACAATGCTCATTCAGAATTTTAAATTTTAAAAATACTAATCATTTCGAAAATACTGAGTTTGATATCGAATTGAAGAAAGCAACTATCTGGGAGTGTAATGGTGAAAGAAATTTCAAAATCCGAGCAAAATTGGATTTTTGGCGTGGATTTGAGTGAGTGAAAACCGGAGTGAAAGCGGTTTTTGAGCATTTTTGAGTGGGTGTGGCGGGCGCAAATGTGGCCATGGAGTCAAACTACTTCAGGGTTTTAGTACACTCATGGGACCCTACCACATATCCAAAGGGCATCAGGATCTGTTATTATCAACCTCGCAAGCTCCCCTCCTACATTAGACTGACAAACCAGCTTCTTTACACCACTTTATTACTCTCTCTCCGTACTTGGTAATAAGACTGTAAAAACGACACGTATAATGTAAACTCACGTATCCTTACTTACCAATCGTTCCCTGTTTTGCTTATGTTTTGTCGCTTTCGCCCAGTCTGGTGTGCCTTCGGCTCTGCTACCATGTTCACGTCTATAAATTAAATGTGCACCAAACCAACATTAACACGAGTACAAGGAGCATACAGCAAGAAATAAAGTTTAGTGATCGGTTTCCTTCCGTCCAATTTTATTGTTAAAACAACAAATTAAACTGTAAACATTAACCAAGAATTTATGCTCGTCATAAATGTTTTCCAACATTTCTAACACGAACTATGTCCACACAGTTGTTGTTAAACTTAATTAGAAAACAACAACATATTTTTAGAGCCGATTCAAATGCAAGATTGCAATAAAAAATGGATCTATTTTCTTTGGTGAGCAGTTGATGAAATTGATTTTAAATTGAGTAAAAACAATAATCTGTAGGATTGGAGATAAGATGGTCAGCGAGCAGGTGGACGTGGAGGAGGCAATAAAAATAACCAAACAGATATCAGTTTAATACTTTGCAGCACGCGATTTTTCCGTCCCTTCTCCCCTGCTAATAACCCATGAAGACACAACATGTGAGCATAAATAAGTGCTATCAGCCAACACTGACCATCCATGACTTTAGCAGCCCCAACGGCGAGGGTCTCATCTCACGACCATTGTGGTAAGTGTTCCGTTAGCTGCTGGTGGGATCTACTTAACGATTATTGTTCCGTTCAAACTTCTCACTTTGAGATTAATTTTCCCCTCTTCACCAAATCATTTCAACAGCGCAGTCAAAGGTTGCATTAAATGTCATAAATTCTTATCGCCGGTAATATCCCTTGAATGGCTGGAAAACAATATTTCCAATTTTACTTTCACTTCAGCCCAGAAAGCCATTAGGAAGTAGTCTGGTGGGGGAATTAGGCTGGGAATCACGTTCTCTCCTCTCTACCGTGAAACAGGAAGCAGTAATAATGCTGAGTGACTGGGGGTGAATTTATACACGGGGAAGCCAAAATTCACCAGCTCGTATTTAGCAACATAATTGAGAAAATGCTTCTCAATAAGAACACGGAATCTCCATTACTTTCTTAATAACATTTTTAAAAGAAAAAAAATATATTTCAAACCGAAAATCACTCAGCCAAGTTTGTATTTAGATGCAAATCAGCAGCTCTCTTTATGTTCTTTTAGTAAAAAAAAAGTTGTGAATTTTGACTTTCTCGAGAATTGTATAATAAATTGAAAAATCGTGTAAAGGTTCCTTAGTGGATGGTGCACAAAGCAATGACCAATCCATAAAATTTAATTAAATTCCAGGATCAATAGATCATGAATTTTTGGTTTTAAATTGAAGAAAAGAAACGAGTTCGATCAAATAAATTTTTGATTGGTTACATTATTGACCAACCCTTTTCAGGTTTTGAGCAATTGGAAAATCTTTTCTTTTTTACTTGTGCCCGATCAACTTGGCAAGAGGAGTGAAATTCGATGATTTACCAAATTCGACATACTGCGCACTCTGTTTTTGCATAGCTTGTGAATATGTATTGCTCAAAAACTTGATTTTCAGATCCGGGTGATCACTGTAGCATGCACGCGTATGAGAAAAAGCAAAAAATATACACGTTCCACTTTCTTTCTTGATTGACATATCTGGTGACAACATTGTTAGGTTTCCTTCATCAATTGACAATTCATCTACCCAACGATTGAGTATTTGGCCATTTGACTAATACGTTGGAGTGACACGCCGCAAGTGATTCCTTGAATTTTCCACCTAATGCACTTCAACCAGGAAAAGCCACAACGAATTTAGAGCTTGACGATGGGAGAGCTGCCACTTGTTTTCACCGATTACTGGTTAATTGAACGTGAATATTTCATTAGCTCGGCTCCCAGTTGATGGTCCTGAACTTGCATTACATATCAAGTCGGACTTTATAGTATGGACGACAATTTTCCCATAGTTTCCAACACACAAAGGTATTTAGCAGCATTAAGCAAAGTGTTCCATGTTGATAAAATCTATTGCGTACTAGAATACCCAGTGCACACCCAAATTTTTCACCTATATTGTGACAAATAGTTTTTTCGGCAACGTATTTGTTTTTGTAGGTGAGACATGTCATTGATCTAGGTTATCGCTGTGTCAAGAGAATCCAGAAAAATTCATCTATAATTCTTTCACTTCACTTGATGCTGTCAGAAACTGTAATCCTACGTGGGCGCTAGGTTTATATAAAACACAAACACAAACATCTGCCCCAGATTCGCAAATGTCAACACACAAAAACTTGAAAGTCATGCACGCTTAAATATGTTACAGAAAATTCAATCATGAAATATAAAGCAGTGTTTGGATTTTGAGATTTGTCAGAAGCACTTTATAGAGAAAGGCTAATAGACAAAATGAGAGACTGCTCTCCTACGGAAATTCCTGCTAAGTGTCACCCACAGCGCGCAACGAGGATGAATTAGATCCTAAGCCGACCCTTGTCTTTCACTAAGCAATCCATTATTCCATTGAGTTGGAAAAAAGCTCTTGCACTTAATTCCTTCCAATTCTAAAGCAGAACGAGGAAGGTTCCAAGGTGTGCGGATAAAGTCCTTTCTCTCGAGAAAAATGTATGTAAGAACCAAAAAAAGACACACGATATTAAACACAGCATGCCGCAGAAATCCCAAATGTTTCACCAAGTATCCAACTCAAAGATTTCGATTTCACAGCACCACAAAGTAAAGAAAAGTCACTTATCAAAAAATTGTGAGAAAGAAATTTGAGCCCACTTTTCTGTAGAAAGCACTTAAGCCATTTGAGAAAGGATTTCATTCCAGGATACTTGTATTGTCGCTAAATTGCGAAAACTGTATACGAATTGAATCTGTTGATGCTAAACACAGCGTCATTCGTTATTAATCTTGAAGGATACATAGCACAGGGTATAAAATGCCCATATAACGTCATAATGAAAACCCTTAACTGAATCGTAACATCTAAATTATTGCCAGCTCCTTTTTTCATATGACATCAAACCACGTCAGATAATACGACTCACCTAGAGTTCAGATTTTCTGCCTTTTTCTGCTAGCTTGCCTAGTTTGGTCCGGTAGTATTTCTTTATCTGGAACTCTGACGAATTTAATGTTTTGATCAGAAACTGAGAAGCTTTTTTCTTTGGGCAGCAATAATAATATCAGTATCTCCATTGAGATTGACTGCTCGTAATAACAGCCATTTCATGACACTCTAAATCGTGATTGCAAGGCACTTTTGTTTTGCGACTTGTGCCATGACATGCTCAACATTCCTAATATTCCAGCAAGGAGACGTAGATATATTAATCCGTCAACCCACCAGCATACGCCATTGTGAGAAAGTAATCCCCAAATCTAAAAATTACACCGGAGAGGAGCGAGTGAAAGTACAGAAAATTGCAGGTTGGTGCAAATAGCATTTATGGCAGAAACAGAAGCCACGCACAACGAGTTTATGTGTCCACGTTTCCTGCTTTGTTATTTCTTTCCATGAAAAACTTACGCCCACTGCCCATTTATTTCTGCAAATCGCAAGGTTGCCCATGATATCAAAGTGATTGCACTGTCAATTAAAGGCACTTTCACTGCACTTTGGGGAGCATTTAACAATCTGAAAATCATAATGCTGCTGCTGGTCTTAATCTGCGATATGTTTCCCTCATGCCGTACAACTTGTAGAAGCCCAATCAGCTTATTATTAGATTGGAAATTTCTGCCGACATTTTGGCATGACTTCTGGCAGTAAAATACCTGAAGCATTTACACCAACTGTACAAGTACACACGACAGACACCTAAAACTCTACAACTGGGGAATAAAAAATTAAAATTGGCTTCCAAAGAAGATGGTATAGCGACATGGACGTGTCTCTGCTCACCATCACCAATATACCGATAAGTCCATAAGTACTTACACATAGTGGGTTCACTTAGCTTATAAGTAATTCAATATGCATTGAATTGGTTCTCACTGCTGCGTGCTTTCACAGTTTGGTGGCTACTTGTGTGAAAGCATAGGGCATTTTGTGACCGAGGTGCGAGTAGTGCACTCATGAAGACTGGAAAAGCGGAGGAGGAAGGGTTGCTTTCCAAAAAAATAACACGACAACAACGAATGGGTATCCATTCATCTACTTTACGGTATGTTTGCAACCCTTTGATTGGCGTGTCTGGGGGCCGTAAAGGAGACAGAGTAAATGTGAAATGGATTGTCGAGTCAATTCAAGTATTTGTATAGGTGAGAGAAAATTGCATGGCCTCTGCCGATACAACACAACCAAGGTTCACTTTGGGCTTTTTGGGCCACGAACTCCAGAGAATTGAGAGCTCCGAGAAGCGAAAGTATAGAAAAAGTCGTGGAGAGAAGATATTTCCCAATCACATATTGTCGGCTCCTTTCCACTTCATGTCCTTCTCGGCCCAAATTTATAGTGTTATTGATTACTTTGGCATCTTAAAACTTGTCTTGCCCATTCCGCTGGCTCTCCTCTGGCCGATCGTAATGTTGGGTAATGTTCTTATTGCTTGGAACATTGAGACATTCGAATGACCAGCCGCACTTGCAGTTGTGACACTAAATGTCCAACATTGTAATCTACTCTGAGTGCGAGAAGGAGAGGAAACGACTACTGAAGAACACTGCCAAAGTCTATTGTGAGATATTGATGGACTTATTTTTCACTGTTAATGTTTTCAAGGTTTTTTTCTCCTTTATCATGGAAAGCATTCAGACTGATCAGCTACTTTAAAACGTTGCAACAACTCAGAGAGAACAACCACAGAGGGCAAAACTGCGTATGATTAGTTATTCTCGCTTCTTTTCGAAAGGTCAAAAGTTTGGACATTGTTTATTTGTTCCCCTCAGGACTAAATTCGTCAAGTCGCGAGTAAAGAATATATGCCAAGTCAATTCTCTCATGGTTTTATTGCCTCCATATTTCTCCATTCACTTGTTACAGTGCCTGTGACGAATTTAGAAAAACACGAGGCACAGAAGAAAAGAAATTTTATAGCACCACAGAAAAAATCCATGAGCTGGAAACAGATAAATAATTTTGGCATAAACAACAAAACATACATGTTGTTGGTTTCTGTAAAAGTTTATGAGCAGTACAACAATAAAATGGTTTATGCGCCGCACACAGGAAACCGATCTGACGCATACGCGACTTCAGTGCGATAAGTTAGAAATGAAACAAGATAAGAAAAAAAGGATTTGATTACTTACCCAGTGTTTGCCCCCATAGAAGACGCCCGTCCTCCCCAAGGCAAGCACTTCGTGCATCAAAGGGGTTGGTAAATTGTATGAATGCATACCCTTTATGCATTGAAATTCCTGCAATAAAAATTTTTTAAGAATTTTAAAAGGCCGCTAAACAGGAGAAAATGTGGGTTAAAGAAAGCAGGTTGGGCTGGAGGGGTTAAATGCGTGCAAAGTTGAAATATTTACAACACCCTTGTCCAAAGCCTTGCAAACATTAATCTTTCTCAACACTAGTAAATGTCAAACTCTTGTCACTTTTGCAATTCCTTAAATTGATGGTAATTGCGTGCTGATTAAAAATGAGAACGTTGAGAGATGCATAATTACCAGAGGCATAATCGTCATTAGTTCACTAATAATGATAAATCCATTCCAAGTATTATTTATATACATGTCTCTATTTCGTTTCATGGGAGTCACACCCGCCAGCCAGCCACCTGAGCTGGTTCTCATTGAATTTTATTTATCTGCTGGGCGATAGTACGGAGCGAAATGTATATCGAGTTGCGGATCCAGATGTGACATTTGCACTTAAAAAACGAAGCGTTTCATATTTTGTCGACAGGTGCGGAAGGGTGTTGCTCTCATCTGTCGACAAATACTTCACTTTGTTGCAATCTTTCTAACAAGTTACATAAGGTCGCCAGAAATGAGTGCAGACGAATTTTCGAAAACAAGAGATGATATCAATTGATGATGACGGCATCGTGATGAATGTCCATTTGCATGATCTCAACTTTTATTTTGACTGCTGCCCAAGTTTTATGAAGAAGAAACCTCATTTATGCTCTGGCATTTCTATTTCTCACTCCCACAGATACATAACTGTACTTATTATTACGTCTCCTCGCATATGGAGACAAACGTGTCGAGTGCATGTGTTAGTTTCGTGTTTTGTTCCAATTAAAAAAGTGCAATTAAATTAAACTGCAAGCGTCCTCCTTGATGTATCAAAATATTAATCGGGAGAATAAATATAATTAAGGAGTAACATTTGGTGTATCTACGCCTCTAGAAGCGTTACATACTGCATCCTTTTCCCCAACCTAACAATTTCATAAATAGCATCTTTATCTCGATCAAAATTAAAAGCGGAATGCGACTGCGATAGGAATACAGATACAAACACGAGTTGGATGGAAATGTAGATTTGCATACATACGAAGGAACGTTTTTGCCGCAGCCGTCCGCGAGGAAGAGATTTATCTTTTTAGTTTTGGTCTAGAGCAATTGATTTACCAGTTAGTTTTTGGATTGGAATTTTACTGGTTGTTCTGCACCACTTAAAAAAACGGTTTGGTCGGAGGAGCGAGCAGGATTGTAAAATTCCTTAATTCGCTTTATCTATTTTGGAGGAAGAAGTATGAACATGACCAGCTTGTGCCCTGCTGCTCTTTTCCTTCCTCCCTTTCTCCGTTCTTTCTTTGTGTACGTACTCGGCAGTTGTAGTCGTATTAATATATTAGGTCTTGCTGACAGGCTGTATTTTTACCAACTTCTTGAGAAAACACTCACTGCGAGAAAGCTGCCCAGCTCGGGTCTCACCCGCAGCTTTTCTTTTCTCAAAGGAAGCCAAAGTTCGCATAGAATTGGAGTGAATCACAAATGAGCGGAGGCATAAAAGAAAACTTGGTCTGTTCTGCATTGCAAATTAGACTGGAATCGAATTTAATTTGGTTTCCAAAATTCTTATGGCAATTAGTTAACGTAATCGAATTACACTTCGACTCGAGAGAGTTGGGTTGAGCCGAAGCTTCGAGAAGGGAACACTAGATTTCTTAATGCGTATCGCGTGGATGACTAATGGGCTCCGACCTGCCAAAGCTATATATTTACAACTTTATATGAAACTTACAACAAAAAAATAATTGGCAAGAATGTTTACTTTATTCCAATTCCAGTACTAATCAAGTTACTTAACACTAGCAACGGTAGCAATCCTTGATGGTAATGCGTATACACATCTCGATGAAATTGTGCGAAATTCCAACAATTCATTTCGATATGAAAGATTATGTATGCAGGAAATGTCCTCAAAAAACTAACTTTCGGTACAAAAAAGTAAGAATCATGGAAAGCAATGAAAATTCGTGTACTCAAATTAGGTTGCAGTGGCCACTTATTGGTCTCGTTAAACTCGGAATTTCTCTTATTCACTGAAAGAAATTGAGGCAATCCAACATGAGAAAGGAAGATTTTTTAAGGATTGCTTTGCTTTACAAGTTTTGAGGAATACGTGGAATTCCGCGGACATGACGTGGAACCAAATTCATGTCATCTGAAGGAGACTCTTTATTTCATTTCGCCAACAAATGTTGCAATGGAATTTGAATTAAATTGCAAGTTGAAGTTGTGGAGGCGGACGATCGAAACTGCTTTCTTTGTCGAATCAGAGTAGGGTCCAGACCACAGTAGGAACAGAGGTTTAACGTGTTTCGAGAGGATTAGCATGGTTATTGCCATATGCCACGAACGATAAAGTGGTTGTCCATTAATCCTCTCTACTTTTCCTCTACTTTTCCCCAACTTGATGGAACATTCGTGTTTACCCTGCTGGACCAACCACGCGTCCTTCTTTTGCCCTGCTGTACTTCAACTTCAGGATCGGCACGGAGGGGAAACAAAGATATGTGAGCTTCAGGTTATCAGCCACCTTATCCACCCTCCTCAGTCAGATGTACTTAGCTGAATGTATTGGCAAGTAGCAATGCTCACACATTATAGGATACGATTGCTTTATGCCAAATAAAGAAATAAACAGCCAACTGATACAAAAGAGTCGCTACCTCTAAAAATGTGATTTTTCCTAAAAACTAGCAAAAGATTTTATAGTGGTAAAAATCTAACAGATTCATTAAACTCTTTAAATACTTTTTAAATACTCTTTTTGATAATTTTAAATCTCTTCCATTTCATTGCTTTAAATATTTTAAGTCTTGTAGCAAAAAAAGTTTCGATGTCTAATTGTAAGATTGACGAAATGCTTGATAAAATTTTGGTTCCATTATCTAGTGAAATATTATTGTTCTCAAAGTTTCTCTTACTGTGATCGTATCAACTTTGTAACTTTAGTATTCGCATGATAACATTGATAACGCCTTCAAGTGAACTCAACTCATCACCAGGTTTTCATAAAATATAATCTTTATGTCTTTCCATCATGGGAAAGTGGACGCAGCTGTTGGTAAAATTGAATTGAAACTGTTTAACCATCAGCCAGCCGGAGCCAGCCACCACAATCATCGAATCCTGGAAGGAAACTTTGGTATTTAACTCGTGAATTTTCTCAAGTCATTTAGACTTTAGAGCAAACATCTCCTTCTTTCACTCCCCTCGCACACACAAAGCCATCCTGAGCATAAAGGTGTTTCAGGAAAACTCATGCAGGCTTTTACGTAGCAAGTTTAGAAGAAGAAGACAACTGACAAGTTGGTGGGATGGTGAGAAGCTGACTGGAAATTTCAATTTGCAGTGGCCATTTATCCCACGCAAGACAGCAAAATTCAAAACTTTGGTTTTAGTTCGGGAACCGCACATCATGCATGCATTATTGAATCATTGGAGAGGAAAACTTTTCAGAGTTTTGAGAACGAACATTTAAAATCTTGGTTCGACGTTGGGGAAACTGATGGGAGGGTGTGCGAGAGGTGTCTTGGGGGGAGAAAGTTAACTTGACGTTACGGTACATCCCCTCTAATTCTCGCCCTTTGCATGCACGTCCACTCAAGGCTTAGCCCCAACCATCACGAGGATTCCTGTCGAACTTTGCTGTTTACAAGAAATGTGACATTTCTTCAAGAAATATCGAACCCAAGCGACTTGCAGCACATTCGTAGTTCGTACTCATCGATGCATGTGTCTTCTAAATGTACGAATGAATGTAAGTCTGGTCCAAAGTGGACATGGGTGTGCGGAACATTTTACCTCGTGATGTGTCACTGAGGATCTGGCTTGAGCTTCTCTCCACAAACTTTTTACATTAACCAAATGACATCAGCTATTAAGGGACTTTAGTGATGATGATTTACGCTTAAACAGAAACAGCAGTTCCTCCAGCTTCCGCTTCCAATGTGTTCCGGGTGGTGTGAAAACGGTTGAAATGAACTTTTCTACATTCTTAGAGGAATGTCATTGACAAAATTTCAGAGATTCACACCTGCGTGCAAGAAATGACAGACTGATGTCTTGGCATAGTGTATGTACACCTATGTAGAGTTATATGTACGTATGTACATACATCATGGATAGCTAAGCGTATAGATATATCTCTCATATTTTTTATCAAGTAATAGACGAGACTGAATATCGGAAGTTTGGAAAATATTTTGTGAACTTTGCTCCATAAATTACGATGCAGTATCCAACCCAGTGCTGCGATATGATACAATGGCACCAAGTTTTATCTTCAGCCGAAATTCCATTAAATTTACGACTGTAGACTTTGCTGATCAGTGCATTTTCCTTCCAAAGTGTCTCCCACTTCCCCACATACACTATTTCTACCTCATTAACTTGTTTTCAATTATACTTGTTCATAAATTGTATCGAGTTTCAAATTCTTGGACAAGTAACAGGGCTCAACTAACCATGCTCATGCTACTGAATAAATCTTACTGTGTACATAGCTACGTTATCTAAGTGAAAAAAAACTCTGCTCAGCAAAATGATGATCCGTAGGACACCAAACGTCGCAATAATTACAACGTGACCAGTCAACAAATTCGCATTCGCCTAATCGATGATCTTTCTCTTATTTCGCAACTGAAAGTTTTTTTTATCAAATTCTCCTAAACATGCTTTATTCTTCTGACAGTTTGGCTTTGTCTTCTTCTATGGAGGAAACTGTTGCTACTACGTAAATACATATGTATGTGTAGGTAGTTACATAAGTAAGTAGAACTTAAGCTATTTATAGCAGTTATGTTTGAAGTAAGTTTTTCAAATTGTCTACTCTGGTCCCATCCTGGCGTGATACCGGACGGCCAATAAAACTTTGGACTGGTGAAAAAGTTGCAACCGTGCAGATAAGACGACTTAAATCCTTGTGCTGCTAGTACTCGACTGATAAAAAATTTTCCCCGAAATAAGTTTGTGGATGATCGAGGAATACATGTAGCAAATACTTGGATATCATATGCTTTCTTCTACATACATATTTAGGACTCTGATATTTCCAACTTATACTTATGCATGTTTCATACTTTAAGGACAAGACAATCTTGAAACGATCCCTGTTTAAAGATTAAACGAGCGGAATGCTTCATACACTCGCAGTCCGAAGTCTTGCAGAGTTGTTGGTAAGTAGAATTCGCTCCAACGTGTGTACGCAATATCGTCGTAAAGTTATTTTCCGTCTGGAGAAGCAAGCACTCTGGAATTCGTTGTATCAGAATAGAGAATTTCAGCAGTGCACAAACAGGGCAGAGTTCATAACGCTTATTTATAAGTTTAGGAGTACTTTATTCGAGGCTGAAAAGTCCTCCATGTTGCTACTTATGTATTATTGTTGGTAGTAGCAGCAGTGGAGGCTCGCTTTTCTCCGCCGACTCAACCGCACCACACATTCTACGGAATACGGATACATGTGTAAGGACAACGTGGTGCACATTCGAAACAAAATGGAAGGATTGTTATGAGATAGCGAAAATGGGTTTTCGTTTCCAGCCAGCACAAAGCAATCCCTTTCCTTCCACGGTTTCTTGACTGCTTTTGGCTTATGCTCCACTTCTTCGTTTGGGTGTTTCGTTACTCGCTTCATTAAATAATTGAAGAGTTAATTTTAACTAACAACTCGGTAGTTCGTGGCTTTCATTTCCTCTCAACTGGATCGGCTGCATGCATGTGCACGTTGGTGGACTAAAGTCGTGTCACTCATTCACTTAATGTGGGCTTCAACCCACGTTGAGTTGCATAATGTAGAAAATGTGGTTGCTCGGAATTGATTTAGAACTTCAAGACAAGTCGACAGATTTGGAGAAAATCATTTTTTCACCCAAATAATGTTACCAGCAAGATATGTAAGAGCAATAAACCTGTAGAAATGCGATCGCATCTGGTAACAGATTACAGTGCTCACCGTGTCCTATTTCACGGTGTCAGATATACAATTTACGGCACAACAAGATTTAATTTCACGCCTTGTGAAGGCATCAAAAAAGAATGCGAACTTTTGATTTTACCCTCAAGGTGCATTGAAATTCACAAAAATGATACTCTTAGTGACACAAGTTGATAGATTTGTATTTGAAATGGAGCATTTTTGACATTTTGATTAAGCAGAAATAAGCACAGCACCCGTTCTTCATATATTTGACATTGCCCTCAAATCGTGAAAGTAAGTGGTCCCAACCTGCCTTTTGTTTTGATGCCACCGTTTTTGGTAATGAAATCACTTTAAGTTCCATAAAGGGAGGGCTCACTTAGCACATCCATAGCTCAACATTTATGGTCGTCCAAAGAGAAAACACGGCTGGGTTTTTGAAGAGTCATGAAATATGCAAATCCCTCTCGTATCATAATCCGTCTGGCGTGTTTCACGTGTGCATCCCCTCCACTTTCACTCGGTTCTGCTTCCTTGCTCCCCTAATTCATATGAAGTAAGTAAAATGTACATCCACACAGGACCAGCGGCATTTATTCTACTTTGGCCTCTTCCTACTTTCACCCAATTTCCAATCAAGGCGGAGATTAAATTAATCTGGTCTTTGACTTTGTCATGCCAAAAATGTTTGCAAAAAGTATTGCTGTTTTCTGTGAATCTTAGGACAATGGGTGCAACAAACTATTACGACTTGTTAGTTACGCAAATACTGAATATTTAGCGAACAATATGATTCCTAACATAAATATAAGATAAGTGCACTGTGCAACAATCAGAAAAATAGTGAAATATATGTTTCTTCAAATAAGCACGGATTTGGTGAGGATAAATTGAGTGCGTAAATCGATGGATGCTCAAGAAATCCAAAATATAACATACAATAAAAACAGTTCGTGGTCATATTTAATTAAGGATATGAAGAAAAACTGAAGGGCAAAAGAAAGAGTGAATAGGAAGACTGATGCGCTGCCATGCTCATGACAAACTTCTTTCTCATAATCTGTCAAAATGCTGAAATTAATTGAACCCGGACAGCTCGAACGATGGGGATGACGCTGAGCCAGTTTGTTTAGGTAGTTGGGGGACAAATCGAATGACACGAGTGGAGAATGGAAGATTTATTTAATTCCAATTACTGGGATCTTGGGAAAACAGGATTAGTTATTGAAGAGGACATCATCGACAAGAGAGATGGACAAGGATGGATACCAAGAATTTCCCAATAAAATGAACAACTCTTCTTACGAAACTATGTAGAAGTGATTCTTTTTTCTGCGTGATGCAGATGGTGAAACGCATTTCCTCGAATGAGACTGCGACTCGAAATACGAACCAGCAGAGGAGCAAAGTAAAGATCTGTGAGAGCTCAACATTGTTGGCAGCTGACAGAAAGACAAAAAATGAGGATGAGATGGTTTATTGAGACTGTGAATTAACAAGAGCTACGGGATATTATTTTTATTGTGTGCCTCTGCATGTGTATCCAATATCCATCACATACATACATCACAACCAAGAATTGTGCAGTGGGTCGTGTCCACAATTGAATTTGGCGCTTGAATATTCGCAGGAGTCTCACATTGCCCCATATTTATTTTAGTTACCGGCCAACGCCACCTAGCGGAACTTTGAGCAACCATTTTGCATTTTTCGGCGCTAGGGGGCGTTCTTCGCCGAAAGTACAAAAACGTTGCCTACACCAGAACAACCAGTGGCGCCCCGAATTGGACGAGACTTGAAACTCTCACCCGTGGAGTATTTACGTGACCTCTAAGCTCGGCACATTCCTTAAAATTGTTACTCAACCTGGGACCTACACATTAGAGTTGTAACTTAACCTTTGACCTACGCCCTTAGAGTTGTAACTTGACGGTGACATGGAAGGCGCTTCTACCTTATGAAATAAAGCCTCATGCTTGCCTAGAGCCCGCAAAGCGGGCTACGGAGACTAGTCTAATTCCATAAAGCGTTAGTGTTAAGTTCTGCCTGGGTCCCTGTGGCTCTCAATGCACATTGCCCCGTAGAGGAGACAAAGAAGCAAGCGGAGCAACGGTTGCATGCATGAATTTTCTGCATGAGTCTCACTTCGCCTGCACGTGACTTTCACATACGCTTGCCATCAATCTCAAATTAAATGTCTTTGTATATTTGCAGTGTGCAAGTAAATTGAGTGAGTGCGCAGTATACATACATCACTCATCAATAGTGGTTATCATGATAAGTGATCTTGATAAACACTATTAATTAATTATTTTAGTTTGAGAAACTCCACCCACAGCGAGTGGCATATCAATTCGAATGTATTTTTTACGCTGAATCCAATGCCATTAATGGTTTTGACCTCCGAGGCCCCCGTGACCTTGCCGTGACCGTGGTGTCCAAATATGGCTTATTCGTTATGTCGCATATCAATTCGAATGTATTTTTGATGCTGAATCCGAATCCGTCAATAGCTTGGCGTTAATTGTAGAAGTTAACGGGGTTTATGGAACTTAACGGGAGCGTGAAGCGTGGGAATTTAAATAGTTAGCTATGCAGTTACTCCCACGCGACGGGAATTTAGGTAATTAACTATTCAACTACCCCCACAGGGGGAAATTAAATTGTACTGTGACCAGGTTAATTAAAATGCAGTATGATTTGGGCAAACCCTCACTCTGATGTATGTATGTAGTATGACAAAGTCTTCACTGCGAATTATTTAAAGTATAGTATGACGGATTTTTCGCTTTGGGCACACCCCCCACTCTAGAACCCGGCCTTGGCCGGGCTATACGCTAGTACATAAATATATCGTAGCCTATGTCGGACGACGGAAGCAGCCTTCTCATTTTCCTCCCCTCATCTTTAGCAAAGTACTTATATGTGTATTATTGAGAGCAGTAAAGTGACAGTTTTTCCTTCTTCTTCATAAGGATAAGTAAGTTGGAGTGGTGGTTGTGGTGGTGCCGTGATGTAGGAAAAGTATAAGGAAGGGCTTATGACAAGCTTTTCTGCTACTGTTCTGCAGCATGGCATGCATGACGTGACACGATATCACTTGGGAGAAGTTTCGTTTGAGTTGCTTGCGCAAACAGATCTTCTCTACTTTCTCTCCCTCCATAAGTGTTTTATGATAATAATAAGAAGAAGAAGAGGAAGAATAGAGACAGTCAAACGGAGAAAAATGATCAAGGGCCGTTCCACTTGTCAGTTGTGCAAAAAGTTAGATCCCGTCAACAAGACAAGGGAAATGTGTGTGATGTGTGAGTCACAACGGACATTGAAATTTAAACTTTTAAACCAGAGCAAGAATAGAAGAAGATAAATGAATCCGTTGATAATGAGAAATCTAAAAATATGAAAGACTTGCGAGCATGACAAAGAACTGTCGGAGGGTTTCTTTTGCAGTCTTTCGTGTAGTAAAAAATATTATGAAACTTGAACAGCAGAGTAACAAAAGCTCTTAATTATTGACATTAGGGAAATCTCGGAAGCAGGAACTACGATGAGATCATGTTTTAAGACTGGACGGATGAGTAAGATAAGAGATCTTATCTTACAAAAAAAGGTGGTGGAGGAAGCAATAAGGGGAGCAAAAAACAAAATATTTTGACTGACCTGCAATTCTTCCGTAACGCTGGAAAATTCTCTCCACGTCTGTTTTGCAGCACTGGAAAGTATTTAGATTACCAACAAAGACTCGAGAGTTGACTGCTGCAAAAGTCCAGGAAAAAAATATCATGTTACCAACCACTGGATTACAAGGGCCAAAAAAAGTATGCACACATTACCCTGCGGATCCTGAGAGTTTGTCTGATTCCCAACTTTACAGCTCATTTCTAAAACGTCATAAAGCAACAAAGAGTTGAACAGAGGACAAACACTTTTCGGAAAGGATGAAAATGCTGCGGGCACAACAATGTCAATTTCACCGCTCTGGCTGAACAGCGACTCTGATACAACAACAAACTTTGTGCTTTCACTCAAGTTGGAAGACCTTCGCTGAGAATTAATAAAGGACACGGCAGCAGTGTCTGGTCTACCGAAAACTCGTCCGGGTCATTAAAAGGGCAACTATGTAGCAGTCTGAAGACGCCCATATGATATATGGACACTTGCACTTTAAAATCTCAAAACTTGTACAAAAGTTGCGTTCGAAATGGGGGTGTGCGGCGTGCGGTATTGTGTTTCTGACTTGAAAAGAGCCTAAATAATTTCAAAAGGAACTCGTGAATGTACTGTTTAATCTATTCTTTGGTCAAGATTTTGACAAAGTGCTCAAATTTTGCAGCAATGCACAGTAATATTTCTCCGTCAACTTTCTCCTGCATTAGTACATATAAAGGGTTCGTTATGCCTCGTAGATATATTTTGCAGTTGAGGTGAACCCAATATTTTGGGGCGACTTGAATATTTAAATGACAAACTACTATTATTTATTGCACTTTGCCTCAGTCAGCTTCACTGGTTTAACGCTTTCACGGACTCGGCACGGTTATCAACGAAACGGGGAAGGAAATATCAATGCAGTTAATTTAAATCGCAACGTCGAGTGTTGGAAGCTCCTTCAGCCGAATTACTTGCCACTCTCGCCCATTGAGTTGTTCAATGTTTAAAAGCGAACTGGAAACTGAACCAAGAAAAAATACTCCTCGTCATTTTCTGCTCCCTTCTTGTGCTTCGGTTTGGTTGTTCCTACGTTCGTAAGTGGGTGTGGGTGAGTGCTAAGCAAGCAACTTCATGTACGTACAATATCTCCGCCAAATGTTAGGAGACTGCCCGAAAAGTTCAGTTGTTGCGTTCCGTTATAATTCCTGTCCTTCGTCACTACTGCTCGTACATCACCGCATACACACACGTTCTTTCCCTCTCGAAATGCTCCAACGCCAATCCACCAACCAATGTCGCATTCAGCGTATGAAACGACGGATATTTGGTCTACCCTGTCCTGGTCTGTCTTTCAACTCAATGTCTCTCCAAATCAGTTTGTCACGTTCGGCAGCACCAGATAAGCTCCAAGAAATGGTGGAGAGACGTGGCTCAATTCAGTCGGGTCGAGCTAATATTTGTGGATGTAAACTTCTCTCAAAGAATTCTACAACTAATGGAAACTTTGGTTTCGATTACAAAACGAATGGACTTTGGTACAAGTTGCGAGAGTGCGATGTTAATTACTTTTCTCAAATCGGCCCTGTTACACACGACTTGAATGATTAGCTCAAACGATTAGCAGCGATATAGCTTCATACATATTTATGTATGTGGAAAGGGTGCTGTTTGATCTTTGGACTGGCTTTCTCATCAAGACAATATTGTGCTGACAAGGGACACTCACGACCTGTCGTTTGAGCCCAGGGTACCCATTATGTTTTTTAGAATCTACTAGAACCCTAGATGAAGGATTCATTCATATTTCCGTGTAAAACTCATATTTGGCGCCATGGCGTGGCGCCAAATTTGCCAAATTTGCATGTTTTTATTTTTGAAACAGCCATAGCTTTTGAAATTCTGGACGGATTTTCAAAATTTTTGGCAAAAATCATGACAAGGAGTTCAACTTTCATATCCAATAAAATTTTTTCCAAAATTATCACTTTTAACTTTTCGCAAAATTTAGTAATTTTTTATAAATGGGGGTTCGTCGAAAAAATGCAAAAAATATTTCAAAAATTATAAATTTTTTATTTTTATTTTTTTCTCAAAACTTTCGACTTTTGTGATCATTTTAAGCATAAAATTTTGAAAATCCGACAAAAACTGCAAAAGTTATGTGGGTTTGAACTTGGTCGAAAATGCAAATTTTGAAGTTTGGCGCCACGCCATGGCGCCAAATATGAGTTTTGCACGGAAATATGAATGGATCCTTCATCTGGGGCCCTAGTAGATTCTAAAAAACATAGTGGGTGCCCTGAACTCAAACGACAGGTCGTGAGTGTCCCTTGTGAGATAGATTTCGGTCGAGATTTCAGAGCGTTTTTAATCAACTATCCCGCACAAAATGTAGAATTTCGAATAGCTTAGAGCAAAGTTTTGAAATTGAGGGTTGAATATCAATGAAAAGAATGTATCTCAAACCAATCCGATGGAATGGGCCGAGAGGAAAGTCTATCTGCTTGGGATTCAAAGTATGTAAGGAAAAGGTTTCAACTAACTAACTCTTCCTGTCCCGTCTTGAAAAGTGTTTAATGAAGGAAAAGGCGAGTGAAAAGGAGCAAAACTTTTTAGCTCGTCTGTTTGACAAATTGTTGATTCCCTCTCGTAGGATGGGAGTTATTTCAAGAAAATGATCCCGTTTTATTTATTTTCCTACGTAAGTAAGCTACACTCACTTCTTTCTTATCGTGATGATCTGTACTCCACTTATTTGAATAAACGTACGAGTTTGTCACTGACGACTTCACAATGCGTCGTACGTATTTACATATTTGCCAAGTTAACCTTATGTAGATACGCTAAAAATCAAAAGATTTACTTTAGTAGTCCAGCCAAACTATGTGAAAAACTCTGGGAGAGAAAATTCACAATGAGCGTCCTTTGTACGTATGGAGAGCGAGGTGTAGAATGTGAGACTTGTTGTTGGATTGTTTGTTGGACTCCTTCCTCACTCTACTTTGTCACCGACTTGTTTCTCCGCCTGCAAAGAAATAAGAAACACTAATGAAGAAATGTGGACTCGTGGAATGAAGTATTTTTAGCCGAGCATTGCATTTAACCGGCTCATTGTTTATGAGAGTTTGGCGAGTGAGTGGGGTCTCAGAGAGGGAACGAACATGATACAATTCCCATGCACAACTTCTTAACTCTAAAGTGCAGACGCTATAAATGCAATTTTATTTTTTAGCTGTTTTCGCGATGTCCTTTATGGTTTTCTTTCCGAAATCCGCATCATCATAAAGCGATACAATTGGCGATGTTGGAAAGTAGGAAATTTAATTAAGCCGTGACTCAGCAAGCTCGCAGGGCGTGTATTAACAAAGTAGTAAAATAAATAAACCCCGAAAGTTGCATACCTTCCCGGAGGTTAATGAGACCTAATTTTCTTCCCACTTAAGTACATCCCCGCGCAGTCGCTAAACTTTATGATGGCAAACAATGTGCACGACGCCAAAGTTTAAGTGAGCTAACTAGAACCGTAATTGGAAGGACGGACACATTTTTCTGGATGAGAGGAAAACCATCTTCATGTGTGAGCGTGTGGAAACCTCCATGGGAGTGACATTTACGACTTTTATCTTAACACTGCTCCATCTTATTGCCTACAACACACACACGGCTTCCTATTCTCTATTACATACATGACAAAACATTACTGCTCCACAAATCTGAAACACGTTGTGCTTCACAGACGAACAAGATCACAGACTTTGCACATTTCGGGTTTTATATTTCGGGGAGTCAAGTTTCCCAAATTCCTGATCGCTGACGATACGTACTTCATCAAGTAACCACTGTTCCGGTGTCATTGTCTGCAAAGTTTGCGTCAATAATATTTTTCATATAAGCAGCAATGAAATATGAAATAGTTAAATATTCGCAAAGAAACCTTGATAATTCAAGTTTGCACAGAATAACCATGTCACAGAAAGGCTTGGCAATATTTATTTATGAAGCAAGATCAGTGTGTCAGTGAGTATCATGTTCTCGATAATGTCCTCTAATTCCGAATACTGTTATAGATTCTGGAATGTCAAACAAGTTTATAAATTACGTCAATTTATGAAGTGTGTAACATATGTCAGGAAATGCAAAGTACGTCGGCCCATTCCAAAAATATTTTTTATTACAACATTTGGTAGTAAATATCGGCAATGCAACCATGATTTGAAACCTTAAAGTGTATTTTGTAAGTAGAAAATAGAAACCGAGTTTCCTCCGTCTTGTACTAAATAACTAACTCATCTCACCTTAAGTTCATCCCCTGTACATATCACTTTGATTTTCTGATAAATAATAAAAAAAATCTGAAAACATTTGAGACAAATGAGTTCAATTATGTTGATGAAACTTGCATGCACAGAATTATCATGTATGTACAAGCTCAACAGTCAACCATCAGCTAAATACAGCGTTGTCGGAAATCCACTTTATAGTAAATGATCTCAAACTTTCATGCAACATTAACTTGAAATCAGGAATCAAATGCAAAATCTGGCTTTGAGGCATTAAGTGAGCTATTAAGCTCTCAGCAATATAATTTGTCTTGACTTGTACGGAAAAGTGGCTCTGGCTTAAAAACAATAGAAAATCGTTTTGCTAGAGAAACTTTGCCTCATCTTGAACTGACACTACTTCAGTCAGTGCACTGTGGGAATGGAAAAGGTGGTTTTAACAAGTGCACTGTAAAATGATAAATTACCGAATTTTACCGAATTTTTCCTCCCATTTGAATACTTTATTTTAGCCACGATTCTGGTCAAATTGGAAACATGTGAGCACAGAACGACACACAACAGGTGAAATGAAACAGGATATGATTTCACCGTCAATCAGCCGAGTAGCACATACTCTTAGAAAATAAATATGTATGGGAAACACTCGGATTTCTTTCACTCGCAAATTCAAATATAAAAGTGATGGTGAGCATGCATAACTGGCGGATGAGCTACGAGGTGAAACCTATAGTTCGTGCTCATTTCATTCTGGCAGGAAACCAAGCCATGTACATTTTTATGTTCTCTTCTGCATAGGAATGAATACGTTTTAAAATACTATATTTCAATCCATGTTGACTCGCTCGATTCAATTTACAACACGAGTCATCATTATTGTTTATAACGACAAATATTTATAAAAAGTTGAGTGAAATGTTTATCGAAAAAATTATTTTTATTTGTCACTTTCTGAAAAGCAAATCGCTTGCTCATCTGTATCTCTTGCAGAAACAAGAGAATTACGATATTTAGTAATCAATATATGTGTATTTATGTAACCCTCTATTCTTAGGTGTTCGTTGGCGTTGTCATATTTTTATTTACCCGTCAACTCTCATGCATGATATCCAGTCATCTCACATGAGTTGTCACCCTCCATTGTGCAAACAGGATTGAAAGCAGTGATAAGAAAGGCTTTACAAATACAAACTCAATATTTAAATAGGTAAATGCAACCTATTTATGATCCTTGAAACGCCAGGATATTTGAACTTGATATGACGAAATAGTATGCATTTCTCACTGAAGGGGAAGCTGATCAGGAAACTGTGAAACATTTTGTTCTCGTTGGAAATATGTCGTCATGTTTGTCAGCTACTTACACAGGTTAGATTTGCCATCAAAGAAAGGGTTCTTAGCCAAAGTGTCAACTAATCGTAAAGAGTTTTCAGTTTTGTCAGAGCACATATATTCAATGACTTTAGTTTACCATTCATACATCATCATCATTATGCCAAAACCAAATGCTTTGACTTCTTTGTGCGGAAAAACAAAACTATTTAGCAATGCCCACAGATAAGTATTTGCATAAGAAGGCGTAGGAGGACAACATGCATAAATAGCTAAATACGTATTACTTTCTTCTGTCGTATGTATTGTTCGAGTGTCAAACTGGAGTCAACTCATAACTACCCAGTTCTTGTTTACCATGAATATATTAAGCTATATTATAACTATAGCTATATTAAACTATATTAGCTATATTACCTCATGCGGCTAATATAGTTTTCCGTTGATCATAAGTAGTACTTAGGATTAGCAAGAAGAGTCAAGTATCTGAATTTCAGTAGTGAATGCAAAGTGTTACGATTGGTGGACCTAAATAACAAGACATAGTTTATATATCACAAATAACGGAAGATAATACGTCATGTCTGAAAGGTTCCCAAATTTGCACGTGCGAGGGAGATGAATTGGGATTGCGATGCATCTTGAGAATGTAATATTGTGCCTGGAGTTTGTCTCAATATATTATTTTACAAGGCCGACGTAGCAAAACATGTACAAAAGGCGTTAGGACATGGTTTTGACGAATTCGCGGGTGAATATCTCTGGCGAGGAGTTGAATTTTGAACTGATTTTTGGTCAGTTGCAAGATAATACTCTCAAAAAGATATATTTAAAATTTTAGGCCGATAGCTTTATAAATGCCCCCTCCAGTGCCCCCAGAGTTGGAAGGAGCCAAAAAAACACTTTCCAAACTGAATTACTCATATAGCATGATAACCTAAGAGGTCAGAGGTGAATAATTGTTAATATTACAACCCTAGATAATCATTGCATGAAATAATAAAAGAATCCACAATGAATTACATAACGTTAGGCCTCCATCGTCGCTGATACTTTTCCATGAAAAGTGATCAATCGGACCGTGCACCGGGAAATTGACCTGCTGACCTTGAAAACGGACCGACTGGGTCAAATGAAGATTGAGGGCAAAGCTCAAAGTGTCCTAAGTAATATTAAATTAAGCAGTGAAGATTTTGGGTAAACAGTTTTGAAGAAGGACCCTAGCTAATCAGCTGACGGGGAATCATAAAAAACTCGTGAACTAATTTGGGAAATTAATGGTCAAATTTTGTTGGAAACAAATTTTAATAACTTTTTTGTGTCTCCTGCTGAAGAACTATTTTACCTACAAGGTACAAGTGACAAAATAATAAAATTACTGTGTTTTGATTAGTTAAAAAAAATTTAAAGTTCCGCTTCAATTTTGAGGAGAACTTTTGTAAAAAATTTATAGGGTTTGATGGAATCCCATTTCCTGGGGTGTAACCACTTATCAGAATTTTATCAAAAGTACTTACAGTGCAATATACTATATGTACCTTGGATAAAAACCACGTTAGGGATTTTTAGCATCAAAGTCCTAAAATGTGGGGGCCTTAAAAGTCGAGGAGATGCGTTCACGAGAGCATTCCATTAGGACAAGTAGGAAGCTAGACTACAAAAGGGACTTAAAAGATAAGCATGATACAAAAGTGGTTTTATATAGTGAAAAGCATGCTAAGTCCCTTGATAATAGTCGCAAAGACGATTTTTGCACCAGGACCTCAGAAAACAATATTTTGTTCAACGCCATTTTATAAGAACACTGGTTTGGAAAACTAAAAAAGGACACCTCTCCAAATTTAACCTTGCCTCATTTCGTAGAGTACACAAAATCGGGAGCCAGATATGCTTACCTATAGTTTGAGACATGGGCTTTCACATAAAAAATGTTAGAAATCTCTACAACTAAAAACCATCCCGCAATTAAAGTATGAATTCGTCAAAACCATGTCCTAACGCCTTTTGTATTTGCCGAGTACAAAGGAATTGGAATTTTGAGAACGTGGGAGATTGAGTGGAGGATCTTGCTAGTAAATTGGATGGCATCTGGTTAAAGCCCCCAAGAAATGAGGTCCTGAATATGGAGATTAAGCGAGGAACACGAACCTTTGGAAGGCTCGGAATATGTGCGAGAGGCTCTCTGCCTGAAAATAAGACGAGCTTAGTCACACCCTCACAAACATGGGTTACTAATAGCCTCAAATGGTTGGTTGGTAATATGAAACCGAATCCAACCTCGCCTGAGAAAGTCTCTTTAATACGATTCTCGGAGGTGAAGGCTCATCTGGCAACTTATTTCTCGGACGGGGTGGAATTCGGAAACAGCTGAGGCGAAGATGGGACGGGGATTCTTCACCCGTGTTTTACATAT